TTTACTTCCAAACTATTATTTAAATTATATATGTATTAAAGACACCAGAGGCAAGTTCAGCAGTTATGTTAAGTATTATAGAAAAAATGTATGGTACCATTTCAGACTACATCTACATCCAAAAGCACTTCAGATAATGCTTCAAACAAACCATCAACATCAAATATTCAAAGGAAGCCTGGAATTTTAGGCGAAATTCAAGTCAGAAAAAGTACAGAATTAACATCTAGAGAAAACAAATTATATAAAATATGTAAGAGGAAATTTAAGGAAATTATAAGATTAAGAAAACAGTTGAAAAGCAAGAAAATAAATATAATAAAAAAAATATCAGAAGATGAAAATGTGCAAAAATTTTGTAATTTAAATATATCAAATTTTTAATTTTTTTAACTTTATTACAAAGTCAATTAAAAAATTGTCCAAAACGACCAAAAGGACGACGTTACACAACAGAACAAAAGATAATGGCGTTAGCTATATACAAAAAATCACCAGCCTGTTACAGGCTTTTGAGACGTATGTTTGCTTTACCCGGCCAAAGTTGTTTGAAAAAATTATTGAATAAAGTGCCATTAAAACCAGGCCTAAACAAACATATATTTGTATCGTTAAAGAATGTTTGTGAACAACAAACAAGTCATGAAAACATCTGTATTCTATCGTTTGATGAGATGAGTATCAGAAAACACTTATTTTATGATAGGAAAAATGATATAATACAAGGCTATCAAGACCATGGCAACCATGGTAGAAACGGTACAGTTGCCAATAAAGCCCTCGTTTTTATGCTTGCGGGAATTCGAAAAAAATGGAAACAGCCCATAGCATTTTACTTTTCGAACATATTAACCGCAGATAGAATGACAGTAATTTTGAAAGAGGTAATAATTTTATTTATTTATGTAGTATAACCGTACATGTATGTATAACCTAACACAACTACTAAACTATTGGTTTTATTCTTTCAGATACTTACGGAATGCTTTAATTACAATATTATTATAGTCGCAACTGTGTGCGACTTATCAACCGTTAACTTGAAAGTGTTGAAAACACTTGGTGCTTCACCTGCAGAACCCTACTTCATACATGATCAAAGGGAAATAGTAACAGTGCTAGATCCACCTCATTTATTAAAATGCACTCGCAATCTCTTAATGAAGCATAATATTGAATGTATAACAGATTTAGAGTCACAAGATGCAAGTATTAAAGGTAAGTAATATATACGTATCAGTTTTTTTTAATACAGGTGTAACCTGTATAAAATAACAGTGTAGGTATAGAATTTTAAATATGACAAATATTTAGTAAATAATTTTAGGTGTTAGACTTTGATTAATTTTCTTTTTGTTTTTAGGCATAGTCAAATGGAGTCACATTGAACAATTTTATAATCAAGACAAAAATAACGCAAATTTTGTTTATGCTCCTGTATTAAATGACCATCATATACATCCTAATATGAAACAACAGATGAGAGTGAAACTTGCAGCACAAGTTTTTAGTCACTCTGTTGCTGCCGGTATATTAGCAAAAATTGCGTCTAGTAAGTGAATTTGGTTATTTTTAATTATTATCTTTTATAATTTGAGTGACAAATGAACATAAAACGATTGTGCTATAAAATGAATTTTTAAATGTAGTTTAATAGTATCTGAGAGTACACGTACAACGGCCCAGATATGAGGCTGATTGTGGAAAATAAAGTTTAATTTACAATACAATTTAATTTCCGAAAGAGCTTCACGTATGCACTATGTTTTAGCACCCTCATCAATTATATTTAAAGACTGTGGCCATTATAAATTATACTGTAAAATAACACTAATCAATTGTCTGATGAGTAAAAATAATACCTGAAAACTGCAAATTAGTGGTTACAACACAATAAAATAAAAATAAATGTTTGGTTTTTCGAGACAGACGAAGTACATAAGTACCTATTTACATAAAAGTTTTTATACCATTTTAATTACTTTGTACGCCAGTCTGTCTTCAACCTTACTTCAACCTCTGATTTCACAGTAAAACGATAAGTTTTATTGTTATAAAAAAATTACTGTGAAATCAGTATCACTTTTAAAAGTATTTTTTTGCAGATGAACTTCCAAACGAAGCCCATGCGACTGCAACATTTGTTAAAAAAATGGATGATTTATTTGATTCAATTAATGCGGACAGTCCTGACCTGCGTAGAGGAAAAAAATATTCTTGCAACTTAACAATGCGGAGTCCTCACTTAGCCCTTTATAAAGATATGCGAAAATTTATATCATCAATGAAATATCTAAGTAGCAGGACAACTCCTCCTTCTCAAGACGGATGGATACAGACTTTAAATGCCATAGAAAGGTTGTGGAATAATTTGCAGGTCCAAAAAATCAAGAGCTTGTCCACGCGTCGCCTGAATCAAGACCCTTTAGAAAATTGTTTTGGATGCATCCGATATCATTGTGGGTCAAATACGAATCCGACAATTTCCCAATTTGTGGCAGGTATTAAAACGGCTATAATTACAAATTTACGACACTCTGGACAAAATACAAATTGCGAAGATGACAGTGCTACTTTAGCAAATAATTTGCTCCCATTTTTAACATCGAACTTGGAACAGGAGCAACAAACATATACTGAACATACTGTATCAGCTGATAATGTAGAAACATTATTAGCTAATACAGTGGAAGCAATGGACCAAGCTACCCCTGAAGGTCAAGCTTGTGCATATATATGCGGCTTAATATTTAAGAAACTGAGGCACAATGAATGTAAAGATTGCCTAAATATTTATGTGACAAAAAATATTGAAGCAATTCACATATTTACCAGCTTTAAGGAATATGAAACTTCAAACACGTCATTAAATTATATAAATAAAAATGTGGTAGTATGTGTAGAAAAGTGTGCCATAGTAATTAATAATTATTTGAAAAACAATGCACACACTCCACAAATACGAACAAATATAATGACATCTTTGGGTTCTTTTGATTTTAGCTTTTTAAATACTTGTGTAAATCATTTTGAAAGTAATAAACGGCACATTCAAAATAGTATATTTTATATATGTGTTAAAAGGTACATTATAATTAAAAATGGAGAAATGGATGAAGATGAGAAAAAGAGAGCGTTAGAAAGAAAGATGAAGATTTTACAAAATAAATGAGAATTGTATTTAATGTTTTAAGTAAGTGAACTCATTCGTTTTAATTTTTAAAGATGTAAATGAAATGAGGTCTCACTCATTTATAAAGAACATTTCAAAGAACAAAATGCCTTGATTCGTGAAATGTCTTGAAATATTTTGAAATATTATACAATAAAAAAAGAGTTTGAAGGTATGAATGGTAAAATGAATTACGAATTTGATATATTAGCATAATGACATTAAAATAAGAATAATATTGATATATAAACAATAATATATAACCATTTTTAACTTTTATCATAATAATTTTTACTTTTTAACTGTATACTGTAATGTGCTATCTGGAATTATGTAACTATTTACAGAAGTATAATTAATATAATTATTAATATAAAATATGCGTGTCTTCACATATGGCGGAATGTGTTGAACCATATGTACCCCATTATATAATCATTGTGCACACCACATTCCTCGCTTTCCTTTTTTGTAAATATAAAAATAATTTTATAATTTCTTTATTAACCATCTTGTGTTACAAAAGATATGAATATAGCTTATGACAGTAACAGTTATTTATACTGTATAAATATTTATAATAAATTGAATAATAAATCACTGAGGTCTGTTTTTAAAAATTACTTAAATATGGTTATGTATGGTTGTTTGTATTCACACATCAACTTAAAAATGTAATGTTACAACAAAATTATTTAAAAGAGCAACACGCAATTTCCTTGTTCATTCTTCTTGTGTTGAGACAGCTTACCGAATGAGCGGTAGATTGAAAAAAAAATGTGGTATCTATTTAAAAGTACTTCAATGTAAGTTTATTTGAATAAAGGATTTTCTATTCTATTGACACTAACATTAAAAAATTCTGTTTTACACAACATTAAAACTATATATAATAAATTTGCATGCTAAGTTAACTGATTGAGGCACTGGCAAAAATTAAAATAACTACATCTTGCTACATTCAAATTAAATTAAATAAATATTTTTAATTTGTTTATATGCAACTTTAAAATATCATCAAAAAAATGAAAGATTGCATTTTGTTATAAACGTCAAAATTAAAAATGATATGTCCTGTAACGGCCTGTTGTAGAACATATTATTCTTTATTTTGTCTGTTACTTCAAAAAGTACTAAAATTTGTTCCAGTGTTATTTTACTGTATAAAATAGAATGATATAGAATTGAAAGCTTTTAGCATGCATAATCATTTTAATGAACTATTAATATTTATCTAAATAAATGTGTCATTTCTCATGTATTTACTCTTTTTTTTTATTTTTGCTAATTTTAATTGTGATTTGCTACAAATCTAACCCCACCGGCGGGAGGACTCTGATGGATGGTAAACGTAGTAACGGCAGAATGTTGATAAATATATTTCACCGAGCTATAATATTTTACATTCCGCGCTTACCACGTTTATCAACCATCGCAGACCACCGGATCCGTCTTGAGTCGGCAGTCAATAATGGCGGGATTTAAAAATAAACTTTGAATTTCCCGCCAAGGGGGCCAATTATTTACAATAATTTTTAAATATCCCGCCACGATAATTTTCAAATATCCCGCTATTTCGCTTTTCTTCAAAAAGTATTCAGTGCTAATCCGGTACGGCGCTAGTAGTATAAGTGCGTAAGGTCGTGGTTGCAATTTTTTAATACGGAGACGTCATTCTTCTCTTGAGTAGTATATTCTTTGCCCTATAGTAAGCAACACTCCTTGTGTTGCCAAGTGCTAACAGTATTTATTTTTTTTCACAATTTTTTGACAATTTGTCATTTTCCTATGAAAATTGAGGAAATTTAAAAGAAAAGTATATTATTACAGTAGATATGAACTAAAATATTTTATTTTCTTCCATGTTAATTCTGATGTAATGTAAATAACATCGAGAAATAGAGATAATTATTTTGATTTAAGCGTGGCGAAAATATACAGAGAAAGAAAGTATTGGATAATATCCAAATATAATAAATAACTAATTGGCAATTTAGTTAGCTTTAAGCGAACAATAATGATGAGGAATTTATCAAAAGTATTACTGTGTAAGTATTCGTAATTTATATTACGTTTAACCTAATGTTTCCTCTTTTAGCGTGTTGTGAAAAGAAACGGCATCGTTTGAATTTATCCCTGCTATATTTAAATATTGATAACGTAATTTGGACACTTAATTTCAGAGTTCTTTGGATTACGAACTCTTTATTACAACCTCAACCATGGAACAGAGTATAGATATTGTGGAACACATTTCGAAACTATTGGATGCAGGAAAGTATAAAGAGTCTATTAATGTATCTAGTGAACAAAATTATGAAGGTACTTTTAAAGATAACTGTTGGGATTTGATATCAGTTGTCATAGGAAAAATACAAGATGAAACTATTGTAATTAAGCCATCTTTATATGGTGCTTGCGAGGAGCTGTTGACTATTATTATACAGAAGGTTTTACCAGAAGAAGGTCTCTTAGAGTTTATTGAACAAATTGAATTGGCTAAGAATGATGCACAACTTAGTATTATATTGACACCATTGCAACAACTTTTACATAAAGTAACAACGAAAAAAGAAAGATTCTTAGAATGGTGTTTCAATTCTATATTCACTTATATTAAAAATATACCAACTCCTGAGTACCAATTAGATGCTAAAGAGCGTTTGTTATTGGATTCTGAGCCTAATGTTAGGCGAATTATTAAAGTTTATGCAATGTTGCCTTCATTTTATAGTACATTCAAATCAGAGCTATCAACACAGCCCAATGTAAGAACAAAACAAATAATGAATGCTTTTCTTATAAGTCTCCTTGGGAAACCTCTAATCTTTGTTGACATGGATCCTGAATCAAGTGCTAAAAGTGAAGCATGGGAATGCTGTAATATAATTATGCAAGATATTTGTATTCTCGAAAATAATATATTAAAATTTTTGGACTATTTGGAAATTTGTTACAAGGCAAAGCAAAAGTCAAAATCAAAAAATGAAGATAATGAAGAAGGAATGTGTCCTTATGACCACAGAGACAAACTGAATATTACCACTCTCTCGGGATTGTATTATGCTGCATTTTCAGGGCATTTTATACTGCCTGAAAATTCAATACCTTATGTTTATAGTACTGAGTATGTTGTCAACACTCTACTTTTATCAGTTGTTCATTTATTAGACTTTACTGAGTATGGACCCCTATCTAAAGGACTTGTCTTATGTGAAGCAATTTTGAAGCGACTTGCTGGAAATGTATCACACACTCTATTGGCTTCAACCATACATTTTGATTTGTGTAAAACATTGTCAAATGTTGCTATTTATTCAACTTATCAGTCAATTCGTAAAAATGCACTAAACTTGTTAGGGTGCCATATTAATAAGTATGATTATAAAGGAAGGTGTATGTTAATTAAATATTTAATAGGTGTTGCAAACCACTCGGGTATGATTGGTTATGCCATAACATTATATAAGAATTCTATCGATGAAGCATTTAAAGATCCTGTTTTACCTGAATGTTTTACTGGAACCCACCTCTTGCATATGATTAAAAGGATTTGTTTCTTGCCATATGGTGAAGAGTCAGATTTAGTTGAATTAGCAGATCAAATTATATCTTCACTAAACCTTTTGAGATATTTGGTTTTAAAAGATACTAAAAATGTTACTGGAATTCAGGATTGTTTCTCTACAATTCAATCAGACTACTTAAATAAATTAAGAACTGGGCTAAATATGTCTAAAGCTCACTATGAAGTAAAATTAAAAGATATAGAAGAAGAAAAAAACCTATTAGAAGATTCAGCTAATGTCACAATCAATGTCGGAGGAAATATGTTGGATAAAATTCCAACAGAAAACAAAAAAGAAATAATACACTCAGCACTCAATGCTTTTCATCTGATTGAGGGTCTCATAGCTCGCTTGTCTGAATGTATTAACACATATAAACAAAATCCAGATCTAATGTGATTATTTTTATATTTTGCAATAAATATATTCATTCAATTTTAACTTCTTTCATTTATAGCAATAATAATAACTTTAGAAAATTATTCCAAGGTTCCTATTAATGTGGACAAATAAGATTCTCACAGAATTAATCGTTTTGTTAACAGCACTGAGGAGCGGACACAGATATATACTGCCCATTATATCTGTATCGATCAATCAACAAACTCCAAAATTATTTAGAAACTATTGTCAGTCCCTGCCAGAATCAGAAGTAAAGGTAGCCATAGCTGCAACTGAATATGAGGAACAGCAATATGAGGAGAATATAAAGAATCGTATTTTGGAAAAAGCTTTAGAATTTGTACCAAAATCAGGGTGGTCTATTGAATCTATTAGCGCAGGTGCTGAAGCAGCTGGCTATCCAGGTATCACACATGGCTTATTTCCCAATGGAGGAGCAGACCTAGTTCATTATTTTAATGTGAGATGTAATGATTACCTTGTACAAAAAATGAAAAGTGTAAGTGCCTTTTTAACCAACACGTCATGTCTTTTAGACAGTTAGTTTTGTAGTTTCATTTATACATATATAATTGATAATATTTTATTCTTTTATTCAGTGGCCAAAAGAGGAAGTGAAGGAGCCTAAAGTACCTGTTAAGTTCATTGAAAATGCCATCATAACAAGACTTTTAATGATAGATCCTTACAAGTAAGTCTTTTCCAAATTGAAATGGCTGGAATCAATATATTTTTTGTTATGATACGAACCGAAAAGGTAAAAGAATGGTACGACTTTGTTTATTCATCTGTCACAGCGTTATATCTATCTATACATATACATCAAATTGGAGTGTCTTTTTGTAATATTTCAAAACCGTTTTTTACTATATGCATATGAATATAAATACACCAACATAACATTTTTTACAATTTTTGTCTGTCTGTTTATTCGTTCCGGCTAATCTTTGAAATGTCTGAAATTTTGTCGGGACTTTTATTGTTCATGCATACAGCTCATGTAATAAGGAGTAACTTTGAGAGGCTACTTTGATTGTAGAAAAATTCTTTTATTTTAGAACAATAAAATTAAATACCACGCGAACGAAGTCGCATGTTCAGGTATTAATTTTATTTTAATAATTTCACACGTTTAATAAGTATACATTACGAAAAAGTAATACATTTAGGATCATCGCGGCATAGTGGTTAACAAAAAAAAAACTACCTGACTTGACTATATAAGTTAGGCTACAGATTTCAACTACCTTTAGAGTATAATTTGTACCTAAAAATCTTAAGTTCCATATGTCCAACACAAAAAAAACTAAAATTGATAACTTTCCGGTGACGGAACCATCGATAACAATCCAAATGAATCCTAGAGACAGCAGTAGTCTCTCTCTACCACATTGGTTGCCAATATACCTAAATACTAAGATATAAGTAAATAATAATCATAAAATATGGTTATTTAAGTTGAATTTAATTAATTTTCAGAGAAACCTGGCCAAAGGCAATGGCTATTCAAGCACTTCCAAATAATGTACCAAACTGTCTAGCCACTTTGCTATCTTTAGTAGATGATATTTGCTACCATTCAGGCGACCGGAGTGTGGACGTAAGACATTTGCAGACTTAATATTTTTTGTATACTGTTTTAAATTTTACGCGGTCATTATTTATACGTATAATTAGTAAAGATCACGAGATGATCATGGCGGTTGAAATACTGCCGAGAACTCAATAAAAATAGAACATGGTAAGATGTCGTGATTTTTACTAATTATACGTACTAATATTTTTCATTTAGAATAGTATCATGTCATAATATATTTTTTCTTTTAATTTCAGTTCAATTGGTACATACGGCGGGTAGGTTTAGCGGGAATATATAAAGCTACCGAATTGTTTTACTTAACAGATAAGAGTCAAGACCATAGTGCAACCAAAAGTTTTGTATCATCGCGAATTAGAGATGCCCAATTAATTCAAACGGCCATCAACATGAGTCCAGTATCTGCAGCTCCACAAACACTAACAGCTGCATTTGTAACAGTAAGAAATCAGTTCAATATTATTTAAGGTCAAGGTATTAGTTAAGACCAATTAAGAAAGACCTGCAACATCTAAATTGTGTAAATTTTTCTATTCTATTCTCTAAAAAAAATTAGATATTTATAAATTATTACTTCAAAATGCTCTATATATATGGAAACTTAGGAAACGAAATATGCAAAATTTAATGTACATATATGTATATATATTGTATTTTGCTGAGGTTTTATTTCGCTACACATTGTATAGTAATCATTTGGAATAACTGATAATTAGGTGTTAGAAAATTGACAGAATAGCACAGATGTTGCGAGATGCTAGTCATGAATGCTATTAGAAGCACCTATCACCTTTTTACAATGTCTTAAACACTAACCAAGAGACGATTAAATTGTGTGCATAATGTAGTTAATAGCAATCTAACAGTATCACAGTGATCATAATATGTCATAGTACTCATAGTACTTCATTGACCCTATCTTATCTTCAAGTAACAAGTCACTGCAAAGGTCATAGATTCTTTGTAATACATTTCATAAGTAATACCATTATCTTTGCCTTCCTCGCTTGCACCCCTGAAGCTGAAAAATAGTCTTTAATTATATTTGCGATGTTGCACCTGTCCCATTCTCACATATAAAACCAGTGTGGGAAGAGGATGGATCCTAATATGAATAAGGATCCCACTGCTATTGCTAGCAAAAGGAGCAATGTATCAGGCGTGTCAGGTCGACCTGCACGCGATTTCTTCTGGAAACCATCGTGGTTAATTTAATGTGATTTCATTACGTTATTGGGATAACATACCTGATATTAGTGGGATAACTGACCTGGTCTCATGGTCATCCTATCATTTTAGCGCGTGCAGGTGCACCATTCCATTATTAACCATTAAAAATAAGTTTTTCTTTTTTTATCTATAGCGGATGATTTTTATGCCGTTCGGAGAAAAATAGAGCATAAATATTATATAAATTAAAAATTCCGTATGTAGACAGACACAAATAATACAACGGGCTATATTTTTTTTCTGAACAGTCAAAAATTGCAACCTTCACGTTCTATATAGCGCGGCGTAAGTAGTAAACACACCCTACACCGTGCTACACACAAACCTACAAAGTATTTTTTATTTTCGCGAGTTAAGCGGCTTTCGCTTATATGGTATAAACACATGAGAAAATTTATTCGTCATATCTTTTTATTGACATAATTTAATCAAAAAGAACACAAAAGCTCATTTCTGCTTTATATTTTTACCACAATTTTCTCCGTACCGCAAAAATGTCATCCCATATGTAAATAATTGTTATTTTACATTAATCTCAACTATAACTTATTTTATTTCAGGCCAAAAATATTTTAGGAATAAATACACTGAAGTAGTTTGAAGATTATAATAGAATTATTATCATATGTTTATGATAAATGTTATTACAAGATCCATTGGTGACATGCATTTGTTTCTGTTTAATAAAATGTTAAATGTTACCATTCTTTTAATTGCACTTAATTCAACCTAAACAGGTTATCAAAACAGAACATGCATTATAATTATTTTTATTAATAAAATAATTTTTGTATAAAATTTATGAACACTTTCTACATATAATAATGTAATAGTAGTCATAATAAATGACAGTCCGTTATATGTAAATAGGCTTAATTTACAAGGAGTGGTTTGACTCTGAAGGCACAGTATTACAATATGTATTAGCTATGAGGGGACTATATAATCACTACCCAGAGATACATATAATATTAAGTTTGGCGGTAAAGGCAACCTCTCCCATACATTCGCTGAAACTGTTTGACGTATGACAAATCTGCAGATCATTTGTAGAGAATCCAGTCTCGCAAATCTGGAAACAAATATTGAATATTACAAATACTTTGAATTTAAAGTATTTCAGTAGAAGGAGACTACAGACATCACCCTAGTTTCTGTGGATATTCACAAAATTCTGTTTTGTAATTGCATTACACAAAATTCAGAGGATTCTAAATATTCATTCCTGAAATTCTTGTGATTGTCTTTAATCATAACAGGTAAATATAATGACAATACTATTATATAAAAAGTATCAATGTGGAAGGAACCAAATTTTAAAGGAGACATGCTATTCTAAATAATTAATTGAGTACTTAGAATATACTAGTATGTTAAGTTGATAACCTACACAACACCTTTGATCATATGAAATCTTTATCTATCAAAACAATACTTGCATATTGCTTATCGTGTGTCTGTGGCAACAGGCTATATATATACTATTGTCTTGGCATAACTTTGATTTGGCTTTAATGTACTGTGCCTTGTGTGACTGGAATTAATATAAGCCCATATATCACTATAATGATCAATTAAATATAACTAGGCAGTAATACAAATATTCCACCTGTACCTATGCTCACTAACTCACTACCAAGACAGTATGAGGAACAAATAAATGAAGTAGTAACACATCTCATACTATCATAGATATTCTAAAATGGAGAGATAATTACCCATTTACACTACATTTCTTAAATTGTTTATAGTAGTTTCTAATCTCACTATAACCCATTATCATCCCACTATTCAAATGTGGGGCACACATTCACCACAATACCTCAGAAGAGGAGAATTTAGCCTACTACTACTACCTTGCTGTATATATATAGCTGTGTATATCCCTATACTGTTGTACAAATATATCATATTTGTTCTTGGTGTTGCTAGTAATCTTACACCATACTAGGACCGATAATAGCACATTGTATATCTGCTTGCACATCAGATATCTTCTAATTTCCATGATAGGCCTCAGTTTTACAATAGTTACATAGTAGACTAATTGGCAATGTATTATAATGAAAAATACCTGTTTAATGGTCTAGCCAATTTCACTGGCATCTCAAATAAATTTGACCGGACATCCACAGCAGCACAATGTTCTGATATTCTATTTGCTGGTACAAATGTCTCATTATTCAAAGAGAAAAGTCCATTGGCATGCCTTAGGCGAGCATGCAGAGTTCGTCCAACACATCGGAATGATACACACAATATATGCCGAGAGTCAAATGAGTCACGTACAAGGAAAACATTATCATGCTGACCAGCTAATAATTCTTCAGCCTCACTTGATGTTATTCCTCCCCAATACCAACCATGTCTGGAAGAAAAATCAACATTGGAATTTATTTACTCAGAAGATAAAGTAATCAGACTATCATATTAATAGTTAATCACTAGAATAATATAACAATATTTTATTTGCGGTATTATGTATACAAGATATTATTAGCACTAGATATAAAGTGATTTTCCTCAAGTTAAATTAACAGTTTATTTTATTGACAAATATTGCTTCAGAATCAAATCACATCTGCAAGATTTATTATGTCTTAAACTCATATTTCTATTTCTCATAGTAATGCTTAGATATGCCCTACATATCTACTAAAAAGTATATAGCAGTAAAGCATTGTTAATTAAGACTTAACAAATTTTCATACTACCTATACTTCAATACCACAGGTTAGTGTACTCTGTGTCACATTGAATATATTATTCAGCTGTAATTGATCACAGGCAAAATAAATTAAACCAAGCTTCAAGATTCTCTAGACTAAATCACAGAATGACTAAGTTCTTACAGGATTAAAAAAGCTGAGATATATCACTTGGTCTCCAGTGTTCCAATAGAGTGCAAGTTCCCCAGGCAAAAACATACATCTTCTATATTTATGGTTATTAAAGATTTTCTACTCATGGAAGAAGGTATAGTAGGATTGTAAGACTATTTTAACCATTAAAAATCATATATATTGAGGAAATCATAGCCAGCATAAGAGGGTCACAATATTCTATTATGAATAATGGAATGAAAGACATATACTGCAACATCTATAAATATGCATATCTAACTTTTAATATCATACATACATACAAAGTAACAGGAAGGGTAAAGGAAATCTTTACCTTTTCGTTTCAGAACCCTTAAAATTCAAGTGTAATCATAAGTGAGATGCTTACTTAGATAATTGACAATATATAGCACAAGTTTCCACAGACGCATGTTGATGATGACCACGTAGGACTGAATGGCCCTCAGCATGTTGACATTTCATTGTCTGTTTACTAGGTTCAAGATCTTTTTTATTTTCACAGTTACTATGAGATCCAATACATTTTTCCGTAGATGACGAAGGGTAACTACTTTTATTGAAATTGCAAATATGTTCACCACCCGTTTTGTTTCCAAAATATCTTTGCAAAGATCTTACACTACCAGTAATAAACAATTTGTTCTTCCAAAATTTCACAAATTTATTCGTATTCATTGGTGTTTTGCGTTCTGGTAGAAATACACAATTAATTTCTGTACTAGAGAAATCTCGTTTGCTATCAATTGTTCGTTGAAAATGTTTACATTCCATTGGTTTTATCCATTTTCGAAGGCATCCTGTTGTAAGCCACTTACGCCGATTACAATGTGTACATCTTTCATAGTTTTTATTCATTTTTATTAGTCATTGGTTTAAATATAACATAATGTGGTTTATTTATTTCAAGTTGGTATTGAAGTTTAAATTTTAGATTCAGACGAAATCAGAAATAAATGAAATTATTATTAATTCCAAACAGATATTGTTAACATACTCTGTGGCACTCTGTTCGAGTGTTGCTATATGACTATCTATAACTACTTCAAATTTAGTCCAAAATATAAGTTTTCTACGATAAATTCATCAATGTACATCTGTATCCTGATGGTATTTTTAAGGCGCTTGATTTATAACAGTACTTGTGAGAGTTGACGAAAAAAGCTGTTATGGTTATAAATAAATTATTTAATTTTACGAACACACACGTTCAATGCTATTGTTACAGATTGGTATGGTAATGGCATGGGTACTGGAGGATATCGAAAAGTTGCCATATTTAATTGGTGACTCAAAAAAAAGTACTATTTAACTTTTTTTTGAGTTGTGAATCTGATTATGTTTTTAAAGTCAACTCTTCAACGATTCTTGTATGGTTAAAGTAGAAAGTCTGTTCTTGTTGTCACAAATTGACAATTAGCAACTACATTAATTTTATGTAGAAAAATAAATATATGTCAAGAAATTTTAGAATAAAATGATATGATGAAAACTGGAAATGTAGCATTATTATTTTATCTCGCTGTCGATACATAAATATATACATAATTAAACGACCGTACAATAAAGATTAAAACACTTATATTGTAGGCCTACGTTAAGCACACGTCTGCTTCCTTTATTGTTAAAAATCTACCCAAATTTGAGGAGAAAATTCCTGATCTAGTATCACTATTTACTCAGTTGGTGATTAGAGTTGCCAATCTTAAAACTTGTATAGATTTGCATAGAAAGCTTTATATTTACATTCCAACAAAGTAAAACATCGATATATTTCGATCATCAATCGATCGATCGATCGAGAGCTCTGTCTATGCATTTATCCTCTCATTTGGATCGTTGTTCGTGCAGTACATGGATATTGAAATCGAATTCAGCATCGATCATTAATATCGATTTAGAAATACTGAAGCCAAATAAATATCTATTCAATTCAAGCGGGACTCGAAATTACAACGGCTTGATCCGAGGTTCGAACCATAGCAGTGCACTTTAAATAGATATTTATACCACATGGCCATGTGTAATTTATGCTACTATAGCTAGGTACACATGCTGCACAGAATAAAAACTGTATAAAAGCGATATTATATAACATATTATTACTAACATTCCAATAATGTTATAAAATTAATATATTATATTTCGTAGAGTAACTATTTTATTACTTAGTTGCAATATACTTACAAAACATATCAATTTCAGATTTCAATGTATCGATATTTTCTACACTCTGTGCTCTGACCTTCTCTGAACAGTTGCACAGTCTGTGATTGAGTTTTCTCTGTTTGTCTGTTTTGGTGATTGGATCATTTTTAGGTCATTAATAAATTTAATGAAATGTACTTTATTTTTCTTGAATGTATCATGAATCATGCTGTACTACTTAAATATTTCGTGATGTGCGATGTATATAACTGTTAGTGTAAAATATATACAGTAAAACAATTTTTGAAGTAATGACACTGAAGAAAATCGCGAAAATGTCAACAAAATCACAAATAACTAATGAATTAAGCGGTAAGTTTATTCCTATAAAATCAAAAGAATTCGTTTTATTTTCTTTATTATTATATACTTAATAGTAAAAAAATATTTCTATATTCGTAACAAGAAATTATTGATGATTAGACATGGTAGATATATATATATATATACATAAATACATATTAAATGTGTACCTATTTATTTAAATAACATTTTTTGCAGAGAGTATCAGCCATGTATTGGGGAAAAATGTTAAAATTTTATATAAATCTCTCATTCGTATGGAATCGAGAGGCGACAAAGTGGACAATAGGGTTTTGGTAAGTTTTTCATGTTTTAAGTGTATGTAAATATTGTAACTGATTTCAAAGTTGTTTTCTAAAGTATACTGTAAATAGGTGAAACAGTGATCCTGAAGAAGGTAACACCTATATCCTTGATTAGAAACAACACAGCTAATCATAAACTATAATAATATTATTGATTGTGATATTGTGTATAGTAGTGTGATTTATGTATATAAATAATGTTTATAATATATATACATTTTGATAATTAATAAATTATTATTTATATGTATATTCATAATATTAGTAATATATCCATTAATAATTTATATAAAAAAGCAGTCAATTAATTACACCATTTTATTTATTATAGAATGTACAAATGCATCAATTACATTTATTTATCTACAAAATAGATTGTTATTTTAAAGCTATCTGTAACTGATAATTTTCTGGACAATGATATGAGTCATTTAGGTGTGTCTCATACTGTATACAGATACAAACTATATTGACACCCTATGTACACAACAACATGTCCCACCTAATATTGTGTAGATAACAATAGAGTCTAATTGCATCTGTCAGTTTATTATGCATAAATTACACATTTATTTACATTGTATAATATAAACTGACAAATGCAATTAGATGCTATTGTTATTGATTTGGGATATCACTTTCTAAATTAATTAATTTTATTAATCTAATCAAAAAAGCATATTTGTTATAAAAGAATTATATTTACATTTTTGTAAATATAATTCTTTTATAACAAATATGTTAATATATATATATTAGTATACATTAGTACACATACATTCTGATCAATCATAATAAAATTTGACAGATGAAATATATATTATTAAACGAATACTTTTTTAACAATTTTTTATTAATAATAATGTTTCGAAGCTTAAATACTATATCAATTATATTCATAGAAAAATATTAGTAGTATTTTTAATATTGTTATTATTCTTATTTGTATTAATATGTTACAATTTTTGATTTCATTTGATTGTCATGACTTGTATTGATTGCATGATTGGTTTTTAAATTGGACGTCCCTATGTAACCATAGACAAATGTAGTTTAAAAGAGTATTCATCCATACTGCTCTCAATTTTCAAATTATTTATTTGAAATACAGTTTATTTTAGAAAGTGACCACAAATAAAAATACTGTTACTAAAACTGATATATTATGATGAGTTGGAATTGAGTATAATTACATTCTATTGGTGAATTGTTTTATGTAAATTAATAATGTATTTTGTAAATTCATCATAGAACAAAAAATAAGCATATTTTTGTTGCTATGTGTAATATTTATTAAATGTGTGAATAAAATGATATAATTTACTGTATATTTTCAGGTTGTTACACCATATAGAATTTTTATTACTACTATGAAAATTCCATGTAGGGTAAGTTTCATAGCAATAATTTATTATTAAATTTGTATTATTTGTTAATCACATACTAGTTATGATAATGTGATCTAATAATAGAAAGATACATTTTGAATTGAATGTGTATTTTGGTAGTATATGCTTTTTTCCTAAGTATTTTAATTTATAAAAATAACTCAGGACAATTAACACAGCACCATTTATTCAAAGGCTACTGATTAGCCTTAGACTTTAGGATCCAGAACATATGGGTAGTAAACAACTGATAGAAATACTTAAGTAGATATTTTTTGTAAATACACATATTGGCCACTAAGACCAATACAAATAATCATACTGATGAATACAGATATTTGTACCATGAGATAATGTGAACCTGCAATAAGTAATAAGTCAGTGTTAAACCACTAGACTACTGTGGCCATCCTTTACCTAATATGTTTATTAACTTATTACTATTAGTTGAGAATTTATTCTCTGAACCTGTTTTATATTTGTATTCTAAACATCCTTTTCTGGACTTTGGTCCTTAATAAGTAAACTAGTTAACTTAACTAAGCTGTTTAAATTACAAAGTAGATACCATTCTTTCTCTGATTTAATATATGTATGAATAAAAGTGCTCTCTTTCTTTTAATTTTATAACTAATACTTAGAAAATCCACCCTGTTTGTAAAAAGTGTTTCTTATGAGAATCTATATCACTAAGTATATACCTAATTATTTAAAGTTCGAGTTTCGAGTAATATATTTTTTTTTCATGTATCATTAATGTGTTACATATTCTTCCATGCAAACACAAGTAAATATACAAACAGAACTAATGCGCTTTAGCACACCGTCTATTTCTGTTGGTTGCATGTTCAATGATTCTCATTCTCTACAACATGAGTATTATATTGACTTACATAATTATCAATTAAATATCCGAGTGTTTTTTTTATGATTAATTTTTTAGCAATTTTCATACAATAAGCAGTTTGCAATGTTCAATGGACCATTGAAATTTCTAGTTAGTCTAGTTGAATATTACGTATGGAACAATTTACTACTGTGCGGAGCCCTTATTTCTATTAAAATTTTAAAATCTTTATTATCAGTTACTTATCAAAAATATATACCCTACATCGAATCTTTATCTTACGTGCTATCTCTTTACATGATTGAGTATTTTCACCCGATAAAGAAAAAATCCTAAAATAGAATGTAGATTTTTTTTATTAGGTAGGTATTAGATAAAGCGTTGTGGGGCAGTGTGCTAAATCACACTGAAGTCGTAAAGTGATGAAATCAGTAAAAATGTCAATAACACATAAAGCATCTGTATTTCACTATCCTTGTTGACATATTGTAATTCTGTGGTCGTAGTAAGAACTTGATGTCAAGGTTTTTCCATCTTATTGTCTCGAATGCCTATGCACTTATATCCCGCATGAGTTCGCATTAGAATTGAATGAAATGATATACATCTAGCGTTTGAGACAATAACATGAAAAAACTTGTAATTCGACTTATCAAGTAACTCCAGCCCACCACGGATTTATGATCGTATTAAAGCAATATTGATTACTATTTAAGTCCTATATGTTTGGATAATCTTTTAGGTTGACAACGGATTTCACCTGATGGAAATCGAAGCATTGGAAAGCAAAAAAGCAAATCACCTGTCAATAACTCTTGTCCATGAACACAAGCCAGTGTCCATACTTATAGGTGAGCGTTTATCGTGTCATTGTTTAAATTGAGGTTACAGAAACATGATAAGTTAGTATCAAAACTCATTAAATGTCACTTAAAATTCAACTCTTTGGGACGGACGAATAGATAACGTACATGGGGGTTTTTGCAATGTCTTCCTTATTGCTTTATTATGGACGTCATCATCTTTTAATAATGTAACATAAAAACAAAGGACGTCACATGACTAAAATGTCATACCCTATTATAAATGAAAAGCGATCTTGTCCGCAGCGCCATGTAAATAAAAAGCGGACAGTTTTAGGGAGTTCAACTTTTCTTTTTCTACAACTATCGCTTGTTCTCGCTCGCATACACCTCAATCATAAGTCTCTGTCACACAGTACGTTCCGATACCTTACACTATTATCTTTAAATTTCACTGCCTTATCTCATCCATCAATGGAAACACATTTGACTCCAACTTGCTTAGTGGCTCAAATAGGTGAGGTATCCATGCAGATGACTTTTACAGAGTACACCTCGATGTGTGTATGCCACACACAATTCAATTTCCCTTTACAGTAAGAGTTACTTCACTTGACTGTCATTGTACCTTAGGTGTAAGGTACAAACATAAGTCTTTATAAAACTAAATTTTCTTGATTTTCTCATTCACCAATGGCTATTGAATTATTATACTGTGTGTGTGTATATTTAAATAATAATATTAGTTCTATTTTCTAGATTTATTAAGTTCTTTTAGTTTGGCTTTAAACATTTTTTCTTTACATCTATCACTAACAATTTCAAGAATAATGAAACTTCCTCGCAACCTACTAGGTATCTACCTAATATAAATTTAATTATGATTTTGGATTTTTCAGGTGAAGAAGGTACTTCTGAAGGAGTCATAAATGCAATGCATGCTATCGTTGCCGTATTTGACGATTTATTTCCGAATGTTCCTATAGAAGATATTGTGGGCAAGGTCTGTATTTAGACTTTTAAATAATAATTCTTATTACCACTAATGTACCATTTAATTTGCTACATACAGTTGTAATAAAATTTTATTGTTACAATTGACTGACTCAGCTTCATTATGTTTAATAATGGTAGGTACTTTCGATGTTTTAATTTATTGAAGTTACAGAGCAAGCAGAGTTCGTATTTGAATCGTCAAATTTGATAAATTCTTTTACCATTAGAATAATACATTATGCTGATAAACCTGGGCGCATAAAATATTTTCAAAAATATTAGGGAATATTAGGGAAAAGTTCGATAATGTAACACAACGTGTGAAAGTAGGTAAATACCGAAAAACATACTTATAACGGTGCGTAAGTTATTGACAATAATTTACTATAGTTTTATAGAGGATATATCAATACCAATAAAATAACAAAAAAAATTATAACATCTAAACTTTCTTCATATTCTTTTTTAGTAATTCCCGATACGTAAAGAAGCGTTTGTATGTGTGTATGTGTTAAAATTTACTATTTTTGGTAAATCGCTTCGCACGCGCGAAGGCGTGGCGTGCCACTAGTTGCGAATAATAATAATGATTGATTATTATTATTTATTCATACCGCATTATTTTTGGTCTATCTCATATATTTTCCTCGTCAATTCTTCCCTATTGGGAATATAATGAAATTATATGCCTATCATATTATTTATTTAATTAAATAATTATTAATAATAATCGGAGTTCTGAGACCGACTGCAAAATTGTTTTATTTATACCATTAATCTCTAAAGGATGTATATATATACATATGTACCACTTGTACGTAAAAACATTGAACAATATTATTATGTATAATATTAAAATTAGATTTTTGGTATTCCTTATTGATAACACATCGTAATACGTAATGCCACATGTAAACCATTATTTCTATAATTTGCGCTACAAAATTTTAATGACGATTTTTCGTTACCAATATAATTTTATATACATTTATGTGTACCAACATTTACATTACAATAACGTAAATAATTAAATAAAATGCTAACACAGCTCTATATCGTCATTAACTTTATTATTAATATTTTGGGAAAAGGAAAAATAGACGCTAGTCATTGAGCCATTAATCAGAGTGGTCTACTCGTGAATTATATATTTCTTATAATAGAATAGTGTTGATGTCTATAGTCATACTTCTTTTATTTATTTGGAAAAATACATTTTAGATTAACTCAATATTTTTTTTATACAATTTTTGTTACAAAATAATCTTGTCGGTGATGTAAATTTTTAATGAAAAACGTAAAACTGAATTTTATTCATATTTAGAATTTTATATTCAATATTTCTCTGTGACAGTGTGACAGAATACTAATTAAATGAATGTTATGTGAATAAACAGTATTTATTTTTCATAATAAACAAAAAAATATATAATACATTAATATTATTTTGTTACTTTAATAATTAAAGATAAGGACCTATCTAAAGATCTTAGCTAAAATATTTAAGGAATGAATATAAGTTTAATATTAATTGCAGGTGAATTTACCATTTCAATTACAACATGTAAGTGGCACACGAAAACATTCTACGTGTGGTGATTTCTCAAATCAATATGCAGCTATGTGTGATCTATGCCAAACGCCATTCAGGTATTTATTTTATTAGATTTGATTTTATATATATAATCATTATGTTGTTATTTGTCAATACGTGTGTATGACACGCTTACACCTTTTTCATTGTTGCAGAGCCGAAGTCGCGTGGGATATAGATACAATATATTTGGCACACGATATAAGAATGTTACATTTGAAAGACTTTGACCATTTAGATCAAAGGTACGAATCATTTAATATTTATAATCCCATAAATATTCATTATATATATATGTTGTGAATATATATATTTTTTATAATACAATGATGATGATAAACGAGCCCATCTGATGGTAAAACGGTTACCGTAGCCTATGGACTTTGTCGTCGTGCATTTTGTCGACCCTTGGTAAATCTTACTAAACTCGTCCTATCAATTAGGAACGGACCCGACTATAAGTAAATATGAGCGGCGTGTGTGTCGATGCAGGGATCTGATCCCGCTGGTGATGGCGCTGCAGCACAACACGTGGTTCGTGGGCGTGTGCGGGGACGGCGTGCGCGCGGGGGGCGAGGCGTGGGAGGGCGTGTGCCGCGTGGTGCGGGCGGCGCGGCCCCCCCCGCAGCGCCTCAGCTGGCGCGCCGCCGCGCTCCGCCACGACCACGCCGCGAGACTCGGACACGCGCTCGCCCGCGCCGCGCGCCCGCCGCGCCTGCACACGCTAGACTTCTCGCAGAACCACATCGAGGACAAAGGTACGATGACCCGTCTGGCTCCCGTCTCGCGTCCTCGAGAGCCGGATATCGGTCTCGACTCTATATATCTTCTTCTGTCGTGGAAATGGTGAGCCTAAATATATTCTAGACCAGAATTTAGCAACTTAATAGCACAAACGGTAGCCTAGTTCAGATCTTCCTTCCTGCACACACTATTAAGTTTATTGTTAGTGTGCTACATCATCATCATCATTATCGCAGCCCGGTAGACGTCCACTGCTGGACATAGGCCTCCCCCAAAGATCTCCACGACGATCGGTCCTGCGCTGCTCGCATCCAATGCCTTCCAGCGATCTTGACCAGATCGTCGGTCCACCTTGCTGGAGGCCTTCCCACTTTACTGCCCCAACGGCCATCTGTCCTACGAGCTATGTGCCCTGTCCATTGCCACTTCAGAGTCGCAATTCTTCGGGCTATGTCGGTCACTCTGGTACTTTTGCGGATCTCCTCATTTCTGATTCGATCACGCAGAGTAACTCCGAGCATAGCCCTCTCCATTGCCCTCTGAGTGACTCTGAGCTTATTGATGGGGAGTTGAATAGCTTTTGGAGAATTCGTAAAACAGGTCTACCTCCAGCCCTCAGAAGGTCAGCAGTAACTCCATCATCGCCCGGCGCCTTGTTGATATTAAGTTGTTTAAGAGCCATACCAATCTCGTACAGGCTGACGTCCGGGATATCTTCGGTATAGTGTCGGGTAAATTTGGCTCTAGAGTCTTTCGCCGGGTTGTTAACAGGTGCCCGTGTTGTCGTGTATAACTGTCCATAGAACTTCTCAATTTCCCTCAAAAGTTCGGGTTTAGACGATACGACCCTGCCGTCATCCGTCTTAAGTCGCGTCAGCTGGCTCTGTCCGGCAGCCAGACCTGTTAAAGACTTTTGAGCCCTTGTTTCCCTCAATAGCCTCCTTTACACAATTTGTGTTAAAGTGGCGTAAGTCTCGAGTCAAGGACTTAGAGATCTGCCTGCTAAGTTGCCGATACTGGGAAGCGTCAGTTGGAGACTGCAGGACCATACTTCGCCTTTCATCCATCAGTTTGAGGGTAGAGATAGATATTTTTCCGGTTCTTTCTGCGCGGCGGGTTTTGAAGTGCTTAGACCCAGCTGCACGGACAGTTTCTACGAACCTGTTGTTGTAATCGTCCACGTCAACGCAGTCACCAAGGCATTCGAAACGGTTTTGCAAATCTAGCTGAAAGCTTTCGGGGTTTTGGATCTGTTTAGGTATAGGGCGGAGCGTAGATTTCATCAGTCGGGATCGTTCGAGTTTCAGATTCAGATTCAATGTGCCTCTTACAATCCGGTGATCACTTCCAATTTTGACGGCATTGATCACAGAGACATCATTGAAAATCTGTCTTCTCGTTGACAAGATGAAATCTATCTCGTTTTTGTGGCACCATCGGGACTAATCCACGTCCATTTCCGGTGTTCCGGTTTCTTGAAGAAGGAGTTCATGATGAAGAGGCTCTCCTTCTCCATGAAGTCGGCCAGCATTTGACCTCGGAAGTTCCGATCACCGATACCAAATTGCCCCACTCTCACCTCATCACCGCTTCGTTTGCCCAATTTTGCGTTAAAGTCCCCCATGATAACGTTATAATGAGTCTTTGTACTATGTATGGCTCTGGAGATATTCTCATACATAGCCTCAACCTCATCGTCGGATTGCGTCGAAGTTGGAGCGTACACTTGGATGACCTTCAACGAATACCGTTTGGTAATTCTGAGTATCAGGTACGCTACCCTAGTCGACACGCTTTCGACCTTAATAACATTAATCACAAGGGACTTGTGGACGAGGAACCCGACACCGCCTTGGGACAGTTGATCGCCCTCCCGGAAGTAAAGCAGATTGCCGGATTTCAGCACTATTGAGTCCTCCCCCTTTCTTCGGACTTCAGATAATCCCACGACATGCCAGTGCAATCTGCTCAACTCTTCCTCCAGTTCAGTTAGCTTTTCGTCGGTCCGCAGTGTTTGAACGTTGTATGTTGCCAGGGCCAGTGGTCGTCTTTTGTGGTAGCCTGGTCTAACCCGGAGATTCTTTGCACCCTCTGCCCTGCCGTTTCCATGACCGCTACCATGGTCAAGGCTAGCGGGGCCGCCGGGGACTGGGGGCCGGGGCCTTGGGTGTAAATCCATTTGGGGGGGATATTGCCATAATCGCCACGCTTGGCATGCGGGTTGGCGATCGCAGTATGATGGTAGTTACTCAGTAGAACGCTGCTGCCCGTCCACTGGTCGATGAATCCCTTAGTCGCCTTTTACGACACCCACGGGAAGAGAGGGGGTGGTGCTATTCTTACAGCGACACCACACGCACGTAGTGTGCTACATGGCTAAATAATAACGCGTACAGACGACGCGGAGTTGGGATGTAGACAGATTTTACACTTAACTTAAATCTATGTATGTTAGTGGAGACGTAAACTAATGGAAGGATCTCAAGTGTCGACAGAAAAATTACAAGTGTAGGCACAATCCAGTAGTAATTAATATTGCATTGGTAATCTTATGAATGAAATGTTATAATTAAATTTTGGTAAAATAAACAAAGCGGTATGATGCTGTCACCGTCACTGTTTGTTTATTTGTTCGTATTATGTCAATAATGATTTAATATTGAATCATTTGTTTATGATAGGTGCGATTAGTATACTGTCGGGGCTAGCGAGCAATCCGGACGGGTTGCGATATATCGCGCTGTCGCAATGCGGTTTAACAGGCAAGACGGTAACACACCTCGCCACCATGCTCAATGACAACCCGAGTCATCTATCGACACTCTCGCATCTCGACTTGTCGCACAACAATTTGAAAGACGATGTACACGTAAGTGTCTTTGTTTCTTTTATAGGATTATTAATTTTTTATTTGGACAATTCATATTCATTAAAATGCTTTTATTTTTATATTAAGGTAATTTAGAATTTGTAACAAATATATATATTTATGTGCTCTGTGTAGGGTTTCATATATTTGGATAAAATATACATTTTATTTTTGTATTTACCTTTTGAAATTTTATATCAACGGTGCATTTTATTTTACAGAACCTATATAATTTTCTGGCGCAACCAAATGTTTTAACACATTTAAACTTAACCAATACGGAGACGACGTTAGAAAATGTGAGTAGTTACTGAATTATAAATTATTTCGAATATTAAATATCCTTTCAATTTGAAATCATGATTCTCAAAACTATTTAGTGTTTTATTAGAATTTGAACAATGTACTATATATATGGAAAATCAGGGTATAGCGATTCTAACACGCCATTCCTCGATTATTTTTACTATCTTCTGAGCTATGTTATTATGAACTGATGGCGACTAGAGGTAGATTTATATTGCACAGACACATATTACACCGACCTTATATAAATGGGATAAGCAGATGATGATGATGATGGCGACTAGAGGTAGATTGTAAAAACTCGTCTGTGTGGGACCTGAGTCACACTTGGCGCCGAGCAGGTTACTGTGTAAGCTGCGTTTCGGTTATAGGGTGCAGATTAGGCAGTGAAATTACAGGATAAGAGAGGCATGACATGTTATTCCTGTGGAATGGTAACGCATGAGTGTAGGCGACTTCATTAAAGTATATGAAGTCGCTCCCGCTGTCTGTTCCCTTAGACCTTTTAAACTACGCAGCGGATTTTAATGCAGTTTTTAGCAATAGATAGAGTGATTCAGGAGCAACGTTTATATGTATAATACCCGCACCGGCTTCGCACAGCTGTACATCACCTGTGGTGCGGGGAGTATGTAATAAATCATCAAAACATATAAAAAAAATCACTCATCACTCAATCACAATTCTCCAATGTGTCCATTCGCGACACAACTTTGGCTCTACTTTCGGGCACTCAGATGTGGTGGTTAAAAAAACTGTATTGTATAAATAAATATGTCGGCCACCAGATGTGGGGTGCGCTGCTGCGCGGGTGCGCGGCGCGGCTGGCGTCGCTGTCGGTGGGCCGCAACCCGTGGTCCTCCGCGCGCCGCCCCAAGGACCCGCCGCCCTCTTTCCGCCAGTTCTTCACCGCGTGCCTCGCGCTCCAGGATCTCGATTTCTCCTATTGCAAGATGCCACCTGACGCACTCAAGTACACACTCACTTCTATTTTCTATTTTTTCTAATCATGTAGAATGGTCTCAGACGGTCTAAACTCCGTCCATTTCGACGGTTGTAGTGATATGTTGTTATAATATAGTGATAAGTTGGAGACAAAATAAGTTCTTCATATAGGACAATTATGCCTCTTATGATAAAAGGTTATGATTATGTACATGTATGTTTTTTTAGAATGGTTGAATATAAACTGCCTGTGGTATCGGTACATGCTGGTGGGATACAAGGGGAAGATAATAGAAAGACTTGTCAGTAGACTGTCGTGGTGAATTCACCACAGTGGTTTGCACGTGTGAAGGTCGACCTGACATGGTATACGTAGCTATTAGGCCCTCTTTCTAACAACTTCATATGTATCTATACATGTTTCACGCACAATATGTGTCGGCCCCGGTGGCCTAACAGTTTAGCACACCGCTCTACTTCCTATGGTCACGGGTTCGATTCCTAGCATGATATAAACATTTGTGATGAATATGATTGTTTGTGTTGGTCTAAGTGTTTTCTATGTATATTATGTAAGTATTTACAAAAAAAATCTAAGTATCTTATATCAGTCTAGGACCCAAAACACAAGCATTACCTGCTCTGGGACTAGTTGGCGTTGTGTGAATTGTGTTGTTGTCAAAGGGTGTTACTATTAAATGGCAACACTGAGATGTAGTATTGATGTCGGTGGGTACGCAGGAGCCTGCTACTGGGGCTGGCATGCAACGAGAGCGCCACGGGCGTGAGTCTGAACTTGTCGGGCGTGCTGACGTCGGCGCAGGCCGCGCACGTGCTCGAGTCCTGTATACACGGCGTGCGCTGTCTGCGCGCGCTCGATCTCTCTGATAACAGTGAGTCGCATACTATTCACTTACTATACAATATCGTCTATATGAGTATAAGTGTTTACTTATGTCAATGTATTCACTCATACTAAAGACATGCAAATCAGTAAACAGTTATCCGATAACAGTCAATGATATACTTTTCACTTGCTTTGTACATGTTTTTACACAGTATCGTCTATATTTATATGAATATTTATATGAATATAATATAACTGTTTACTTATTTGAATGACTTAAGTATGTATTAACTAAAGTTAAAATATAATTTTTCAAGCCAAGCCAAGGGTTTGTATCCCATAGCAAATTTCTTTTTGTTTTTAAGATGATAAATGAGATTACAGACCACCTGTTATATAGTGGGTACTGTCACACATGGACGCTTAATGTTCGCCAATGTGTTGTTGATCTTTTCGGGTTATTAGTAATCTAAAATACCTACTAACTATAATACCTATGATGACTTTTGCATTTGGCTTACTGAGAAAAGGCTAGGCTAAAGTTATTATGTTATTGTTATGTTAACAAAATTTAATAACGAACTATACGGTGTGCGTTAATAATTTGTCACACAGTCTGTGACTAAGTGTTTTTACGTTTTATATTAATCATCAATATATTTATAAATTACTTATGAAATAAACTTAATTTTTATAATAACAATTTCGTAATATTCAACCATACATGAAGATAATGATGAATGATTAAGCTAAAAATAATGTTTTGGGCTTCCCAGAAGCCCAAACATTTATTCATTATACATTTTAATTACTATAATTTATTACTCATTTGTATTTAGTTTTAAAAAAGATAAAGACCTAATGTTCATGTGTATTATTGTTTTATAGGCATGGAATTCGAATTATCGGGTATAGTGAGGGCAGTAGGGAAGAACCATTCCATTACTGACTTATCTTTAAGCAGACTGACTGGCAAACGATCTTATGCACCGCCTTTAATACAAGTAAGTTTTTTTTTGTGAATGCTATTTTTTCTTATCATTTCCGTGATGACCAATGATCACCAATCATTGCAGAAAATAAATTTAATTACGTAATTAGTATTTATAAAAATAAAGCTAGTTATTATTAAAATAAAAAAAATCAACGAACCTGCGGATACGTCAGTGTGAAATTTATATATTTTACTCCTTATTATTTTAGCTATCTACGAGTAAAAGTTCCGTAAAATCGGTCCAGCCGATTCAGGAATTAGCAAGAACACTTTAAATATACTTTCATATGCATAGACTTTGATTTTATTAATTTGTATACATATATAACAATTATTATTATTTATTCCCAGAATATATAATTACATTACGTGGTATACTTAGGCTATAATAATTGTTTTACTTTTTCAGGCTTTAGTACACGTATTACAAGAACCAGATACAACATTAACGACATTAGATCTCAGCGATTGTAAACTCAAGGTATTTTTTTTATACACTATTTGATTATTTTGCAAATATTGGTATATTCTATCGTCATTGGAATATAAATATGCAAAAATGTAAAATTATGCATACGACGCCAATGCTTATGGATGTGAAGAATACCATATAATGTTTTATGTCTTAAACAAACTGGTTTCAGTCTGATATTAAAGCACGTAGCCTTACTGTTTCATGACATACACAGGTTGGATGTTAGATGTGGTTTACTTTTATTTATTAGTTGAGGCTTGTACCGGATTATATTGTATATCGTTTCTTTTTAATTTACAGTCAAGCTATGTACGTGGATTTTGAACATATCCATTAAATGCATATATGTATATATAAAACATAATTTTATTTTATACATGTACGACGGATGACAGTATGAAGTATTGAAAGATTCGTATAATAGAGTATAGTGTGAATGAGACAGAAGGATGTTGTGAAAGAGAGAAAAAATTCCGATATGGGAGTGAGGTGAGGTGCGTAGCGAGAGCGGGGACTTAGTCGAGGTTGAGACGCGAGTTAAAAGTCGCCTTTTAACTCTCGTCTCAACTTCGACTAGAGTAGTTAGCAGAAATTAAGAAAAATAAAGAAAATGGTGTTTAAATCTGTATATCTAGGTATTAATAATATATATCATATAAATAATAGTTTGATCATTCATTCTCAGTTTTACATATCTACATCATACTACGAAATCAGATATTTCTGTTAAAAGTGACCATTGTATACTACGATAGTAGCAAACGAGCGTACGGTTCGTTTGATGGTGAACGGTTACCGGAGTCTAAGGACGTCTGAAATACCAGGGGTGTCACGTATACGTACCATTCGCCAGGGAGACCTGTACGGACTGCTGAACGCCCTGGGCGGCGCGCGCCGGCTGCGGTCGCTCGACGTCGGCGGGAACGTGGCCGGCGACGCCGCCGCCAGGCTCCTCGCCAAGGCGCTCCAGTGCAACTGCACACTGCATACGCTCTACATCGACCGGAACGCGTTCAGTTTACAAGGTCAGATCAATTCATTCCGCTTATTCGAGCCATATTTTTAATCTAGAAACTGAGCGGCCATTAGTCAACTTGATTGAAAGTGATTTCATTGCCTACATACATAAATAGCAATGGACAGCACAGTAAACGTTGTGATACATATGCTAATTCTTCATTAGATGCCATATAAGAATATTATAACGCTCAGAACGGGTACATTAATTTCGATGACTTTCTACGCAGTCTGCTTCTAGTATATTTATTTAGATCTATAGCTATATCATAATTGAGACAACAGCCTACACTTTACCTAAACGTTTAATTTGTTATAGAATAATTTTCTGCAGAATGTTGACTAAATAATAATATAATCCGGCGGAAAAACGTGATCGGTGTCCCAAGTACCGTACTTTTCAAAGAAACCCACAATAATTATTCGGACTGCGCAGGTTTAACGGATATTGCAACCGCTCTGCGACGGTCGGTAAGCGTGCGACGCGTTGAGTTTCCCGGATGCGATGCTGCCGCCGGCGGCCGAGGCGCTAGCGAGCGCGTGGCAACACTGTGGCGCGAACTGCATGAACGGTAAATGTTTATGCGTTATTGAGGTATATTTTGACGTTAAAATTGTGAAGTTTTATAATTGAGCTTAATTAAAGTTTTAATAATAATATGTGAAGTTAGAAGTATGAGTCGCAGCTAACATTAGAGAATTAAATATGCACTGACTGTGCTGCTTGTAGGGACTGGTCTGCTCTTATCACTACGACTGATTTAATCTTATTGTGTTTTTATATTTGACCCTAAATAAATTAGTGCCGGTTGGTAGTTTGTATTCACACGTTTCGACTTGTAAAATGTGAACTTACAAGGATTGTTTAAAAGGGCGACACACAAGTTTCTTGCTTATTCTTCTTGTGATGAGACAGCTTTCCGTATAAGCGGTAGATTTAAAAAAAATGTTGACTATTCAAAAGTGCTCAAATTAAGTTTATTTGAATAAATGATTTTCTATTCTATTGTATTCTGTTCTATTCTACTGAATTTGGCAAACGAAAACATGAACAAAATATATGCCAACTTTCATGATCGGTCACTAGCTGTCTTCTAATAATCTGTATCGTTTAAAGTGAACGATACAATAGTAGAAAGTTTAATGGTGGCGTCGGTGGTGCAGGTTGGCGAGTAACAGCACGCCGGCGCAGACGCATACGTTGCGCGCGCTGGCGCTGGAGCGCGCGTGGGCGGGCGGCGACGCGGCGGCGGCGCTGGCGGCGCACGCGGCCGCCGCGCTCCCGCCGCCGCCGCTGCCCGCCGCGCTCGAGCGAGCCGCCGCCGCCGCGCACCACCTGCTGCACCAGTACCTGCAGGTGAACACCCGCCATCTACTACTACAAACTTGCCGTCCTCGCTTCTCACATAATTATAGTGATTACATTAGTCATTCTCACATATAAGCTTTGTACTTTTGTATTATATATCTTATTTATAATTTAATATGATTCTTACAGCGATGCAGCGAAGTATTCGCGGCGATGGGCGGCACAGGAACTAGCGGTGAGCTTGTCACCCTGCAGGCTGTACGAGACGCTATGGCGCCGTGCTCTAACACACTACAGGATTTACTCAAGTACATACTTTTTATTAATATTGATATAATTTTCCATTTGTTTGATCAATAGTAAAACAATATTGTTCGTCACGCTTTCACACGAATAGAGATCCGAGTCTAAGATTCGTTCGACTAGCGTAAAAGATTCGCCGACAGCGCCTGAGAGCTGACTCATTGCACCAGCGTCATCGACCGAAAGGAATACAACCATTTAATAAAAAAAAGCCATCAGATTGGACTATGGTTAAAAAATAAACATTGAAACAATAAAATAGTTACATTTGAACTAGATACATAGGCTACTTTTTATCCGCTTACGTTATTATGTCGGATAGATCTAGTCAATATGACGGGAGAGGGTGTGTTCCCTCTCCCGTCATATTGACTAGATCTATCTACTATAAAAAAAACGTAATCATTTTAAAAAAAAGTGTATAACTCCCAAGAGGGCTCACTAAGTAGTTGTCAATAGTAACATAAGAAAGAGATATCAAAATAATACAATATTTATAAAAAGAATGGTGGACAAGCTGCCAGTAAGAAACATAACTAAAACGTGACATGATGGTGTGTCGACAGCGAGGCGGTGGAGAGTCTGGCGCTGGCGGCGTGCGAGAGCGTGGAAGGCGAGTGCGAGCCGGCGGCGCGCGCGTCTTCGCATGTACCCGATCTTCTCGCGCCCATCTCGCACTCCGGGGTCAGTATTCACTACGCTTTCTCGACTTAAACAATATATCGAAACGACAGTTACTCCATACGACTCACAGATAGGGTTGATGTGGTGAACTCATGTTATTAACATATTATTTATGCTGGGTTCATTGTAATCCAGTTTTCGCGGCAGAATATAACACTACCTCGCATCTCCGGCAATGGTGATTACTTATTTTTATTGGGTAAAAATACAATACACCCCCTCGTCGTGTCTTATGAAAATTTTTTTTCCGCGATAAAAAAAAGGTACATTCTAATCCAACATGGTGCAGTCTACTGCCTTCCATCGGATTTTTTATCATCGGTTTTTCCATCACCTGAAATTTATTTAGAAATATGAGTTCACAAAGTTTTTTTATTATGTTGGTCAGATTCGAACTCACTGCTTTTGGAGTAAAAGAGGGGACAATAAACCACCCGGGCACAATATTTTTACTCGTGCAAACTTTAATTCTAAATTAGTATTCTTATACAAGTCTAATTTAATTTCCTATCCGGTTCGACATATTAAACACACATAGTGTAGATCTCCTTGATTTTTTTTATCATTTAAATATATATGTATATTGATTTCATAGACTATTTTTGCGTTCACATTATGAAATAATTGTAACAAATGCATTGTATATTGCATGCTGTTCAGAAGTTGGACTATTTGAATTTGGTAAGTCTTGCTCGAATTTATAATTGTAATAGTGTAGAGATGTTACTGAACACCTACTACTAAACTAGTCTGGTATACACAGAGATATAACAGAGGTTATGTTCCTGTGTCATGTAATACTGTAGTAATTTACAGATCTACTAAATCTTTAAGAATTATTATCATTTTTTTTTATTCTTCTATATTAATATATATTATATAATTTTGTAATAGGTAGACTTTGTAAGTACAAAGAAAAGACTGAGCCTACGTTATATAATTCTTTGTAAGATGTGTTTGTTTGAAGGGTGTAAGAAAGTTAAATTACAGGGTCTGACATTTTAGTCTTCAGCAGTGGCACTGCATGAGTGAGTATTACTGGCGTCAGGTGATATTATGATATTTGCGGTTCTGTTAAACTCGATAAAAAGAAATATGTACGTGCTTTTGATTTCCAGAGCTAAAGTAAAGTAAAAAAGAGCATGTTGTATAAAGGCAGCTAATAAGGGTATTTACTACTGGGTACTGAGTAGCAGTGTGTACAATGAATGTGACATTAAAAGGGTGTATCCAATAAGGGTATTTATTGTCAACTGTACTGTAATGTAGTGGTTTGTGGTGTCACTGACGATGCGCGTACGTCTGCCGGCGGCGCGAGCACGCACGATCGAAGATAGACTAGACTCTTTTTCGTTCTCTTTGTCTACATTTACAAGATCGTGCGGTTTGAGATGCGTCAAGGGGTAATTAGCACAGCGTCCCGAGTAGCAGTGTAGCGGTCAGTGGTGACAGTAAGGATGGTCGTGCAGGCGACGCCGCTGGGCTGCCGGCGGCGGGAGCGCGGGCGCGGCGCGCGGCGCGTGCGGCCCAAGTCGGTGGCGGAGCAGCAGTGCAGCAGCAACGAGATGCTGTCCCTGCCGCCGCTGCCGGCCGAGGCCGCCGACGCGCTCGCCGACCTGCCCACGCACAAGCTTAGGCATCTCGTCAAGGGTTCGTCGTCGTATCATATTATCGTATATTTACAAATTTTTGTGTTTTTCTATTATACCTATGATTCCGAGTAAGAAAACAATATGTCACTATTTCTTATCATCGTATCGTATGAACGAAGGATACGAAGCACATCGATGCAAGAACAGTAATGCCTAACCAAGTAAGCAGTTTGAATGTTAAAAATCACTTGCCTGTGTCGACATGTAGAAACTAAGCAAACTTTTGAAGTGAGGTATTAAATTTGAACGTGGATTATTATTAGGAAGACTAGATTTGAAAAGAGCCACATACGAACTGCAAAACTTGCGTTCGCAGAAGGGAGAGAATAGACTGCCTTAAAACGATTTTAAATAATCACAGGCAGATGATGAGTAACTGAGGTAATCTAAAATATAATTATTTTCAGGTCGTCCTAGACGTAATAAAACAAGAGCTCCGACCCGACCTATAACAGATCAATCACAAGATATCGATGAAGGTAATTATTTGATGTTAAAATTTTAACACAACATAAAATGATCACGGACTTAAAATACAATTAAGCAAATTGAGTAAATGAAATCATAGATCATTTAGTTAATATGCACGTCTTTCTAAATAAATGAACGAGGTTATTCCTAGTGTACGATAATAACGATACGCGTGCATTTTGGTTAGGCTTTATGTAATGACGTGCATATCTGGACGACTACTGACGTGCGTACCGTACGCTCTCATAATTATTGTGCGCATGAAGGTAAGGTAAGGCTGTATGTAATGTCGTGCAGGTCTGGACGAGTTCTGGCGCGCGTGCCGCACGCCGCCGGGCAGCGAGGAGGCGTCGCTGTCGGCGCGGACGCCGCTGACGTCCCGCAGCCTGCACTCGCTGTCGTCGCTCGCCTCCGCCTCCGCCTCGGCCTCGCCCGGCTCGCCTTCACATTCACCCTCGCCCTCTGCTCTCAGACACTCGCCCACGCTGCAGCGGGACGACACCATGTTAGTAATTGCTGTTAATACACCTATGTAAATTAGTTTCGAAATTTATTGTTGTGTATGTATGTATGTGCTTTTATTATAATTGTATTAGATATTGATTTTAAAAAAAAATGGTAAAGTAGTTTTTCCGATAAATATTACAGTTTGATCAAGAATAGTTCTACGACAGTGACAGACACAACGTCGGAAAGCAAACTTTCATATAAAATTTGTACTAGACACTTTTAAAATAATATCTACTTTATATTTCATTCAGGTACAGTGTCACATCCGGAGAAAGTACACCCGTTTTATTAGAATGTGGTAAGTTATATTATTTTTATACTCTTCTAATAATGACACCATTCCTCAGAAAGAGACACATACGATTCTGTCAATAATATGTTGAGTGACACCGGACACACACACATAGACAAACACAGACCAAGGTACCCACTCAACGACTTAACGTAAACTTTATATCTGGTAACTCTAATTTGATAATAATAATGTATTATAACACAGCATTAAGATGATTATTTTAGAAGGAGGAACGTGTTGTGACAAAATAACGTGTCAACTATTCTTCGTAACCACGATTATACTTGTGTTATAAGTTACTATATCTCATATATTTATTGCAGAGGTGTCTCGTTGCAAGTCATCAGATAACGTAGGTGTAAAGTCGTCAACTACCCCGCCACCGTCACGCTCTTCAGATAACGTGAACACAATGGGTGAGTAATAGATAAGCACACTTAAATTTTTAAGGGTTACATCGAAAACAAGATAGAGTTAAATTTTATACTAACCCCTTTATTTATAAAAGAATCTAATAAATATAATTCAGCTCTCAAAATATGTTTTAAGCTGAAATCTTAATTGTTTTTTAAAAGTTTTATTAGTGTATTATATATGAGTAAATGACTGATATACTAACTTTCTTAAAATATAGGCTAATGTATAAAATTCTTCTCAAGTATGATAATTTATAATGATTAATTAAGAAAAACTAAAATATCGAACTTTTAACAAGTTTTGTTGAATTTATGCCTATTATGTTAAATTGACATTATTAGTATTTTTTATTTTATGGAAGTATTTTTCTATCCTGTTTTTGAGTAATTACCCTATAGCTTAAAAGCTATTTGTAATATGTGAGTGTCCATGTCACAGCCTTTTGAGAATGTGCAAACCACAGCAGGCTTCTGTGTTTTAAAATGGCGGTGCTGATGTCACAACCAGCTTTTGGGTTTTGCAAACATTGTAACCAATACCATCATACTTGATATGCTCTTAACGCTAATATGGAAACAGATTATAATAAACACATCAAAAATTGCGTCACAATTCTAAGAACCTTCCATGAGGTTACTATTTTTTTTTATTTCATGCTTGCCTTGTTATACCCTTTCAAATACTGAATATTTTCTGTATTAATATATATATATACATAGCAGGTAAATCAATTCATCATACATTTACACTATTAAGAAACAAAGAATATCCACTTTAACGTTATATGCGAAAATCTGATATATCAATGTTGTTTTATTTTGCTTTTCATCTGACCACAGCAACGCTATTTGAGTGCATGTACTCCTACAGCGATTGATGGCAGCCTGGTTTTACTAGATAAATATGAAAAGAAAAACATAGAAACACCCAATTTTTGATGTGTATATTTTCATATTTGGCATTGCGGCGACATATATTGTTTTGGTTACGTGGTGATGTGGTATATAGGCAACGGGTGCGCGCGCACTCCGGGCAAGGCTCGCCCGTGGTCCGTGGCCGGCGTCAACCCGGACACTAACGCTGCCGCCTGCACCACAGGTAACATATAGGCTTTAAGCGCTGCATGTATCGCTTTAAACACTTTTATACAAGAAAATTTAGGTAGGTAATTTTGCACTGAGTTCTATATAAAATAATGAACGTTATTATTATTCTGTTCTTCAATGGATCAAAAATATTCATTTAAACAATATTTATAAAATATCTATCAATATTTAATTAGTAAAGATATTCTCCAATCGATATCCATTCTCTCTCTAGCCAGAAGGAAAACCGGCATAAATTGCACATTGATACCTAATATCATACAAATTATTACTTTGTGTGTTTTCGTGTCCTCATATCAATTTCTAAAGTATACATTATTATTTAAGAAAGTACCTGATTCTTACGTGAAGAAATTTTGTTTCAAATACTATAAGTAGATGTCTGAATGAATTTTCCATTTTACAGATAAAGACAAGAAGTGTTTTTATACGATGAATATATGATATATAGATTTTTTTTTCATTCTGTGTTTTATTAATTAACTTTTATAAAAAAAAAGTGTGCATGATTATTTTATGTGTTGGTTTTATTTGTTTATACTTACGTATTTTGTACTACTAACATGATAATTATCGTGTACTAGAGACACACAACAGTACTGAAGAGTAAGGACTGCCATTTCTTAATTTCTTAAGTATCTTGATAAATATGTTTGGTGATGACTTATGACTTAAGATAAATTAATATATTTTAGTAACTACTAGAACATCAGAAAAACAATTTAATTATACCAGTATGTAAGGTATAGTGTATCTAGTGAAATCAATACCATTTTTTTTTTCAATTCTACATAGTGATTGTATATTTGACAATGCAATAAAACTGATAACTCTCTGTATTTCATTATATATCATTTAACACGTGTTGAGGTGTCTGAATGTTCTTAATAACTGTGCATATTGTGTGGGCTGTGGTGGTGGCCAACAGAAGGCGTGGAGGCGTGCGTCGGCGGCAGCATTGTGGGCATCACGCCGGGCGCCGCACTAACCAGTAACCAACTTTCTGACGCTATTCTTTACTGAGCCATTGTCCATGTGTCCTGCCGCTCTATAGGTAAAACTGGAGCTAGATGCTTTACGTGTGCCGTGCCATTTTCAGTTTTCGTTTTTTAAATGCTTGCATTATTACAATGATATGTCCGTAGTCGTAAATATTTCTTCAAGTAATTTTTCAATAAACATAATTGATTGTGGTTCTTTCGACAAGGTCTGATACAGTATATGCAAACCTTTTTAGTACCATGCCCCACTAGCCTTTCTAAAATTGTTATACCCCCCTGGGGTATAACAATTTTAGAAAGGCTAACCATTCTATACCTCCCTCCCATATTATACATAAATTATAACTTTAAAATATTTAATGTTCACTTAAGAAACTTAAGTAATAGGTTTTAGGAAATCATTTGGAAGTTGTTGATGCAAGAGTAATAAAATATTTAAAACCATAATGAAATAGAAATTAATATTCCAATAAATTTTAATAAAGAGTTCATTTTCGTGCGGTGCGTCGGCCCTACTTTGCGAAACACTGGTCTAATGTAAAAGTATATTCCTCCTTTTATCGTGTTTAAAAATAAGCTTCAACGCAGTAATTACTAAGATACAATTAAAGGAAATTGAAGTTTTATTGGCCTTTATTATATACGCGAAAACTAAACTCATTGTCTACTATTTTCTTCATATGTACAAAACTAATCTTTAAAGTACATGTTTATTTGGAGCTCTATTAAAATCGAATTATGAATAGAAAAAGTAAGTAACATTGAAATTAAAACATACATATGTTATGGTTCCTTTATGTAAAAAAATATGTCCTTAATGCTTTACTATATGGTTAGATTGTTTTAACACCTAGTTTGATTTTAGATATTGTAGCAGCTAGCTGTTGTATACCTAATAGTACAGTTACTTTATTTTGAGCGATATGTGAGTGACGTTAGAATTTTAATTATTTAATAACAGCTATATTATTGTTTGTTAAGTACTTTCATTTGAGTATGTGTTTGATGACGCAACAAATAAATGATCAATTTATAATTAATTTAAATATGACTAATGTTACAAACTACTTACATAAATAATACAGATATGCATATATAGCTATTAATGACGGCCGCATCCATGCATACAAAAACAGCTTAATTTCAAACTTGCATGACTATTTAGCATTCTTTTATAGTGTATCTAGTAGTAATAGTAGCTAACAATAACTGCATGTGTGAGTTACTTAATATTATTCTGCATACTAACATTTTTAATCCTCGACGCAAAACGATTTTATGTGTCGGACGTATCTATGTATCTGTCAATCTGTGGCATCATTGCTCTTAAATTAATGGACCGATTATGATAATGGCTGGTTGTAAGAAAAAAGTTTGTTTGAAACATGACGTCGACGATATGGTTCTTAGTAACAAGTTAATTTTATTTTAACAAGGGTACTTGAAAGTAAGGGTTATTTTTTTTTTAAGAGGCATTGATTTTGAGTTTTACTGTGTGGGATTAGTTAACATCTTTTCTTTTTTATTAAGCAAGGATTCCGCTAGACTGATTTTTATGTCCTTCCATGGGATTCTTCTCATATTCACCATTTTAGGATTTAGAATTATATGTTTACTAATTTTCATTTTGATACACAAATATAATTTTTCGTATTTATTATAAGAAAAGTAACGAATGAAAGTCATTATACCTGTTTTTTTTTTATGTAACGCTTGCCTTTTTCTCTGGAAGTAAAGCAGGGTTCACAAGGGAAGATGACATAGATACAGTACCTGCTTACTACAAAGCGAGTCGTATAATTAGCTATCTTAGCTGTAATATTTTGCATGATATTTCTATTACTACTATTACCAATATAATATCTACTATTTACCAATTATTTAATTATAGTTAATTCCTCATTATTATTATGTTTTAATATGTTTTAATTTTCTACCAAACAGGCTCAATGTTACGAGAACATCCTTTAACTCCAGGTTTGTATCTACAGTATATTTAATAATATGAAAATAATTTACTACAATTAGAATAGTTGAGTGTATTAAAATTGATAACAATCGCGAGGTGTTTTATAAGAATGTAAATTTTTAATGACTATTTAGTAAGTTTTTATATAATGGAAACAAGGGGTTTTATTAACTACACAAACATAAGTTTTTAGTATCTCCAATGGTTTCCGTATAAAAGTAGTGGTCCGTCCCGACTTCCTATGCGTTGAACGTTACAAAATGTGTACACATATATTCTATATTCACATAGAATAATGTACTTTTCCAAATAGTGGAAGATTAACTATTATACTTGTTCTATAATTTGAATTACTTTCAGATGGCACAGAGGCATAGACAAGATAGCGGTTACGCAGTGCTGGCAAACAGTGCTTGAAGACAGTACGTGATAGATGAGCAGGGTTCAATGTCCAGATATTACACTGAACAGATTTTATTCTCGGATGCTCACAGTTGTGCCACTTAGGATTTTAACGTTTTAGACAGTAAAATAGTTACTGATTAGTATATTAATATTTCAATCGCCATTTTAGTTATTCTTACCATATATTAATTACTATTTTGTTTTATATACTGACGATACTTTATCATAATAATACCAAGTAACTTATGGTAGAATTAATGAGATATTTAAATTATGATGACTAATAATTATTTACTGTGATTCAAGTTAGTATTATATATTCGTTTCATTTAGTCACTAATATAAATTTATTTTATTATAAATAGCTACAAATTATATTTCTATATTGTATTAATTTTAAGTTATTTTGGGATTTCCGCAATTAGTCACAACAGGCCACCCTTTAAATATCCGAAACTGGTATAGAATAAGTTAAATAATAATTAATCAACGGAATTACAATACAATCGCATCGATATGAAGCAATTTTATAGGATATCTCTAATTATACAGAAATATTATTTACAAAATTTTAAACTAGTAGGTATATTCTGAAATGTAATTCGGCCCCTACATGTTGCGCAACTTCAATTATTTATGTATATAAGGAAATACCCTATCAATGCCAATGTACATTGGTTTTTAAAAGAAATTTATACAATTTAAGTAATTGGTCTTACTAGTCACGTTTAAAGGCCTAAATTAACGCACAAATTCTTTTACAATTATATGTAGTGTCTTTTTCTTTTAATGAATTTAATGGCGAATATCTTCCAGTTTATACATTCCTTTATTTATGAGACATTGGGTGTAATGGAATAATGAAGTGTGATTTTTAATATGAAGTTCAAAACGTGAGGTGAAATTTAGATTAGAGTACCTAGTGCAGTGATGTAAGGTTCAATTCTATGATAATTTAATAAATGTAGAGAACGCTCCATACATTATAAGTGTTCATTAGAATAACTACTTGTAAAATGATTTTGTTTATTTATCTATTGAATCTATCGTTTATTGTATTCAAATTCTTACAATGTAAATTTACAAATCATAAGATGTAGATGTATAAAATATGGCTAAACTATAATTATTTCATAGTATTTTTATATTCATTCCAATTTTGTTGGTTTTACCTAGCTCTTTGGTACCAGACTGATTTTACGGTACTTTTATTTATGGTGCAATTTATGTCTAGAGCGTTGTGATAATCTGTTTAAAATTACATACATTATACAACACAATCTCTGTTTTATTTCTTATATATAATTTGTCAAATTTCAATAGTAATACGATACGTTTGTACAAGCAAAAATGCGACATCCAGCTTTTTTATGTAATTGACATAAACGTCACCCAAGACTATTCATACAACGCTATTTTGTCTCAGGTTAGACATCTCCAAGGGCTGACCCATAAAGACAGAGTCTTTATGGGTACTAGACAACTAATAGAAAAACTTCAATAGGTATTTTTTTAAATACATACATAATACGCATAGAAAACATCCAGACCGATACTCAAAAAATTATACTCATGAATAGAAATGTTTGTATCCTGTGCGAAATCAAACCGCGTAGTAAGTAAAACTGTGTTAAACCGCTAGACCACCAAGGCCGACACACTATAGAAACATACTAACGGTCCATCTGATTATCTAAGTGGTAACCGTCGCCAACATACATGGAACGGAATACGAATATCACGTACCTCATGTGACGTTCATAAGATTCCTAATAAGTTATTCTCGTTAAGTGTCCTTGTTAGAGTTGGATAAATCCAAAAATATATTGGTTTCCGCAATTTCGCAGGTACTTATTGTAAAATTATGAGAAGTAAATTAGTAATTTAAAAAAACTACAAGGTATAAAAATACTATTATAAAATAAAAAAAATTAAGTAATTCCCCAAAAAATCTCATAAACTGTAGTTAAGAACTATCTCGAGTAAGGAGTTAAAATTTCACAGATAAGTCCACTCTTCTTTTTATTTGTATTTGGGGCTAAAAGTTTAAGGCAGTTTCTTCATGGAAGTATGAAGTATAGCGAAATAAAGAAAAAATATCTTAAAAGAATTTATTATGTCCAATTTATTTAACAGTAAAAAAATATTTACACATAAAATACCACTAGTATAGTACTTAGACAGTCGAACTAAACGATTGTCATTGTCGTTTTGTTTGTGCAATAAAAGTATTGGGTTGGCTATATCAATAATTTAAAAAAACCTTCGGCCCCGTCAATGGATGTGGAAACAGTTTTTGGATTTCCACAAGCGATTCTGTATTTATTATATATTTCACTATACAAGTAGTTGGCAGTACCATATAGATATAGGTGTGTCGTATACCTAATTGTAGAATCGATTGTGCTATGTTTTATTTAATAACATAAAAATGAATACACGTACTGTCGCTGTTGTTGATAGTATGTACTATTATACTATTGTGAAGTTATAGGTATACCAGTAGCTATCCCTTTAATCAAAGAGGTAAGCACAATAAAAAATTATGAACACAAAATTAAATATCTTTCCTAATATTACATACTTATATTAGTACATTTCATAAATCACAATTTTATAGTAAGTGTAATAAATACTACTTAAACATTCTTGTGACTAAATTATATTTTTATATTAATTAATTATGAAACTTCAATATTGAGATATAATCATGTAGCAATATTTTTCCATTATTCTGATAATTACTATTGGTAGCAACTCCACGTCTTTCTATACGTAAAACTAAAAACAAAATTTGATGTAAATATGCTAACCCGCAGAAAATGCATTACAATTATTGAGGTAAAAATCTCGGTTAATTACATTTTACCATTGTTTAAGTGTTTTTTAAACATATATGTTTTTAAAAAATTACAGATTATGCATATATAATATAGATCATTCTTGATTTTGTTTGAATATGATGTATCTCTAAAATAGGAGAAAAGCTATATAAAAATATGTTAAAAGTATTCTGTACTTCTAAATTCGACCATCCTAAATTAGTGTTTTGGGAGTCATGAATATGAGATACTAGTCACATATATTTAAGTGACAAAAATCGACAATTTTCATCGTATGGAAATATGTATAATATTCGCAAGTCTAACCTTATCGTTTATTTATAACTCCGTCCCATTTACTAATAATATGATAGTGGTATTGACTGCAACTATACTAATTCACATTTGAATTTACTGACGATTGTTATATATATAATAATACTATTGTTAAATACACAAATGTATTGGATTGCGTCGTTACAAATAAACTACCATTTTTAAACAAATAAACTAAGAATAATCTCTATCAGTTCTTTTATCATTACAAATTCGTAACTAAATATTTGTAATTTGTGTTAATTACATAAATCTTAATCGGTTTTTAACTTTTTTTTTATATTTGGTATACGTGTATCTTGTAAATAAATTGGCTAATAATCAATTTATTACGTGCCTGTAAAATTCTGCATTTGGATCAGGTATGTCCTATATTGGATATTTCCAAAAATATATGCTACATGGTATAAGAAAAATAATACGTTTAAGATAATATTATAAGTTATATCAGGGAACAGCCAGGCAGTCAGGGCTTATAAATATACTTACATTCGAAACAATGTAATATTTTAAACAAACAAATTGTTATGAAAATTACCTAGATCGGATACTTTAAACCAAATCTAAAACAAAGCTTCTCCATTCAGACTGTTTTTGTGTATATATGTTACGGAATAACGTCGACAATTTAACATGTTTTATTGAATCATGAAATTAACACCAACAATAAATTGCTCCGACATTACTAACTCATACTAAAATACATGATTCTGGAGTTTTTCAGTATTAATTTGAGGGACAAATTTTGATATTGTTATCATTCTCCACAATTAATGGAGAAGATAAGTTCAAGTTGAACTGCGTAAGTGACCTTCGTGGTGAATTATTTCACGTCAATGTTTTTAAAAACAGCCTGAAACGTTATCACAATGGAATCTTGGTCTTTTTACAAGCTTCATGTTCACCTTCAGGTTATGAAATTGACTATGTTCATTTACTTGATGTATTGTATGGATTTTTATATTTCTAATAAATTTAACTGAAGTGTTAACGAGAATCTGTAATGAAATCACTAAACACAAAGCTTGGTTTCTTACCCAATTAAAAATATTTTTTTGGGTAACTGTGAATTTGAACACATTTTGATAAATACAAAGTAAATAATATCGAAGTATTTCGCATGTATACTTTAATTCATATAATATTAAATATTGTGATCACAACATTTAATATTTGAGAGTGAATGTATTTATAACTAACAAAGACATTAAATGTTATTGACATCAAATAATAATGCAACCTGGTTTTAACTTCATAGGAAGTTCACAGAAACAGCTTATGGCTGACATATTTTATGACTGTATTGCCATAAAGTTATAGTCTAAACACACATGTGTAATGCACTGATCACTTAGCGCCCGCATCAGGGATTTGGTGCCACTTCCTTTTTCGGTTCCTCTACACTGCTCACATTCTTCACATCGTCTTTTATGTCTTCAGCTGTAATATATTTATATTTATGATATAAAATATAATGAAGGGCTTAATATGAAGACTATTAGAGGAAATATTTTATCTGAGACTTAATGATATATCCTAGTTTTGCTTCGCAATTAGAGCCCACTTCTGTTGAGAATGTGACTTGGACTTGGACCAACTAAGACTGCTGCACCGGAGGGGAATCGAGAAGAGCATTCCAACAAATGGCTACTCCCAGAATCATTCATTGGTTCTGGGAATGTAAAGCAAGATGAGGCAGATTTAAGTATTAAGTACCCTTTTATTGAACAAGAAAAGGACTCATGGTCAAGAGTATTAACTAATTTATTGAGATACACTGTTTTGAACAATACAATTGAGAAATGTAGTGATATAATTGATATGTTTGCATTATTCATGATAATTAATTTTCGTTAAAGTATATTAGAAAGAGCATACTTACATTTGATTTCATCCTTAATTTGGGAGCCATCCTTGTCGAGACGTGGTCGTTTGCGTTGAGGCGCGCGATACGAGCGATTATCACGCCGCCCGCCCTCACCTTCGTCCTCGGAATCCGACAACTCACCATCGCCCGTTATGCGTTTATCCTGTTCAACAATAGCGTATTCATATCAGTTATTTTTGTCGTGTCCGATTCTATTAGGCTGAGATATGATCTCCAAACACTCTATGCAACCACCATATTAGGGAGGAAGGGAATTGTTAGTAATGGGTCCAGTTACCCCCATTGCTAGCAATATACCATGTTAGGTCGGTCTCCACGCGGTTCCTCCTGGAAACCATCGTGGTTAATTCCTGGTTATTTAATCACGATGGGCAAACTGACCTAACCTCATGTTCATCTTATCGTCCTACACTGGTGACCCCGCCAGCGTAAACCTAATAATGATAATGGAATGGTGCACCATTCCATTATCATTATGTCATTACATCATATTATATCATTATCATCAATGACAAAAAAAAACACCATATTGCCAGCTTAGCTGTAGCTTTGTATACATAACAAAATATGTGACAAATAAAATTTCCGTTCTGTTATTTTACTAACAGATCAAGTTAAAAAGCTTACAAAACCTCAGTACACTTACTTTTTCACTTTGTGGCAGTCTTTCATCTTTGTCAATCTTATCTTCGTCCTCTGATTCATCATTTACCGCATCTTCGGGAATGGCTTGTACCTGATAAAATAATTCAAAATTATATTAATTTAATAATTAAATACGTAATATAAATTGCTAGTCTGTATAGTAGTTAGAACCATCACTAGCTGTATCTCGCGTGTTGTTCGCGTCAAATACAGATATTAAATACATATTAAAGAATGAAATCTGATTTTTTACTATATATATATATATATATAAATGAAATACCTGTACACCGGGTGCATGCGGCAACATTCGTAGATTTTCAAATAGTCTGTTTTTAATCTTCTCCAAGTACTCAGGTGTGTTCTGATTGGACATATTGCTGGGAGATATGTGCAGCTTGAAGTCCGGGCCGAAGTATTCGAAGTAATCATTGTAAGGCAACTCGTTAGCAATCTCAACACCCAGTGCCACTGATGTCTCATACGTCCAGCAACGTGATACGTTTCGGATCGTGTATCTATACAAATAAATACCAATTATCATATTGCATTCTCTTTTCTAATGTCTTAGTAACGAATGTCGGCCTCGGGGTTCTAGCAGTTAAGCACATGGTTGTACATCGGATGGTCGCGGGTTTAATTCCTCGCAAGGTGCAAACATTTGTATTCATTAGCATGATTTGTTTGTCCAGTCTGGGTGTTCTCTATTTATTTTAATATGTATATATTTATATCAGTTGTCTAGTACCCATAAGACATATATATATATATAGCTTGGGACTAGATGGCATTTTATGAATTATCCTGAGATATTATTATTATTATAAAAGTAGTATTCTACTCACCCTCCTCCTCCCACAAGAAGAAATGGTAGACCAAATCTCTTGACTAGCTCCACACAACGGCCGTGACCTCTAACTGTTAAGTTGAAACAGCCCAATCTGTCGCCTAGACACACACACAAAAATTAAGCATTTATTTATTAAGTAATAAAATACTAATAGATAAAAATGTGTCCCATGATAATGTCATGTTCATAATAAAATAAAATAAAAGTATTTGATTGCTTGAATTTTTAAAATAAACGACTCTTTATAACATTAGTTAGCTGCAAGTGAAAGTCCCTTCAATATTAGTCTAGCCGTTACAGAGATTACCAAGAATAAAACAGATAGACAGGCAGATAATTTGATGTGGAACTTACATATTAAATACAACAAAATATTTTCAAATTACAAACAGATACTTCAATTTTATTAATTTCTATAGCTTTTTATAGCCATTAAATAGCAGTTTTATTTAACGAGAAGTTATACATGCCACAATAACTAATTTAGAGGATCCTAGCCTCTCAAATCTGGAGTATGATCTATACTTTTCAAACCAAATGTGGCTGTTTCATCACTGTGATTTCCATGATATACAGCATTTCTACTGGTGGATAATAAATATATATTCTTTTTAGCACATTAAGATACAGTAACAATATTAACACTTTGCTGACTGGTGATGAAATAATTCATCTTTCCATATCAAAATGATGACCTCTGACAGTTTAAGTCATCATTGCATTTGCATTATCTACTTAAATACTTTCTTTATATCATAAAAAGACAAACTATTTCACTATTGAATTTTGAATAATTAAGTGTTTTATTTACATATTTAATTACAAAATGATAACAGGTCGCATGACATAATTTCTGTGTAAAAATTGCAATCAACAAATTGTAATTTAGACACTGTGAGAGAATTATCTAATTACCTTTATATTAACTTATTAAATCAAATATAATGTATGGAAATAAGCTAACTTAAAAATCTCACCTGTGAGTGAATCGGCGCCGCATTGCAGTACCACTGCACTTGGCTGGAAGGTCTCCATAACCTTGGAGATGATGGGCACGAAAATTGACTCATAAGATTCATCATCCATACCATCACGCAATGGAATATTCACAGCATAATATTTGCCCTTCCCAGCACCAATGTCGCGAAGATCACCTGAATGTGAAGTAAATATTGTATGAAAACTGGTACAAGTGTCATAAAATGTTATTTTCTTTTCTACACTCTTCTTTATCTGATAAAAAGACAGTGGCTTATCCATATGATTTATTTTATTAAGATATTATTTTACTGTTATTTTAACAGTATTTACCTTGTAAAATGTCTAGTGATGTATTAGTATATAATATAATTAAAATAGACAAAGCAAGTTTCTAGTCTCAAATTCAATGAGTATTAAATATTATTCCTAAAAATACTGACCTGTCCCAGGGAAATATTCCCCGTACTTGTGGAAGGAGACTGTCATTACTCTATCTGTTGTGTAAAATGCTTCCTCCACCCCATCACCATGGTGCACATCAATGTCGATGTATAGCACTCTCTGATGATATTTTAGTAACTCCAATATTCCTAGTACAATGTCATTCACATAGCAGAAACCGGATGCTTCAGACTTCTTTGCATGGTGGAGGCCACCACCCCAGTTGATGCAAATTTCTGATGCCTGATAAATTATTAAATAGTTCTATTATAAAAATATTAATAATAAAATGTAATTAACAAAAAGAGAGGGATGAATTGTGTGAAAGATGAAATATATAAAAGAAGAGTATGATTAGATCTTCTATCTTGATCCCTATCAGCCATGACGGATCAAGAGGACATACTGTGCCAACCCCAAATAATGGGTGGTAAGGCAATGATGATTAATAATGAAATGTAACTAAAAATATTGAAAATTGATTTGTGAGGAATATCACCTGTTTATTAAGTTTCACAGCAGCTGCAACAGAACCTCCAGCAGACAATTGACAAAACTCATACAAGCCGTCAAAAACTGGACAATCCTCTCCAACATTGACTGTAAATATTTTAATTACACATACATACAAATTGTTTCATTTAATTTTCACAAGGTGGAGGTAGTAATAAAATAGTAGTAATTTTACTGTACTTTCTCCTTTGTTTCTCTTAAATAAAATAATATTTAAATATGACGATTCAATAATCGTCATATTTAAATATTATTTTATATATATAGATATATAGATCTATTGATGAAAAAGTCACAAAATGTTAAAATATATATATTGTATGAAAATATGTATAAAATTTCAATATTAATACCAGGGTTTACCAGGTGTCAATAAATAGACTTTCAATATTCAGTCTATTTACTGATTGCCCATCAATTAAAGCACTAGATGTTTTGTATATAGATAGTTAACAACTTAAGATAACATAGTAACTTACACCTCTGCATTTGTTTATTGTACTCAGACATATTATCAGGTCTGATGGAGCGCAGGAAACGAATATAGTCATCTGAGTGGAACTTTGTCATCTCATCAGCTGTTGCCTTATGAGGTCTCTGTTAACAAAGCATTCCCATATATAAGAAGAAGAAAAATAGAAGAATAGGATGTAATGAGAGAAATATCCATAATATAAAAGAATTGTTAAACTTACATATTTAAAAAATACAGATATATATTCTTGAACATAACCTATGTAATAAAGTTACAAGTAACGGCTTAAAAATGATCTACATGTCAATACTGCAATGTGGAGAGCCCATTAGCATTGTATGAAAATATGAGTAGTAGATAATACTATTTTTACAATTGTTTACAATAATATTTACCATGATAAAATTTTTTAACATGGTCAATGCAATGTATACAACAATAATTTAATACCACTTTTACTGTCGAGTTATTACTATTATTATAAGAATGAAACAAAATACTTTTGAAATACTTCATTCAGTATTTTATAGTAACTGACATAAATCTCCTTTTTTCTGTACAAGTTGAGAGCATTTTCATAGGCAATTTATTTTCTAACAAGTGTACAATAATAAAATAAATACTCTATTAAGTGTATTGTAACTTACATAAATTTCCATCTTTCGGTACAAGCCATAATTCAAAAGTAGATTGTGGGTCATGCGTATGCGATGAGGTTTCATGGGGTGACCTTGTCCATAATAGTAATTTCCAATATCACCTATAAAAAAGTAAAAAATATATAATTTTACAAAAGTAAAGATTACAAGGGAAACAGGTAATATATGAATTTTGTATGTTTATATTGAATACTATAAAATGATGAACGAATTGGGTGTATATACTATCCACACAAACACATATATGTATGTACATTATTATTATTATTATTAACAAAATAGCAAAGTATGCTGGTAGGTGAAGTAGTTGACAGTAGTAGACAATGCTGACAGGGCACCATTGGAGGATGATAAGATGAGTGTCAGGTCAGTTAGCTCATCGTGTTAAATTCACCAGGAATTTAATAATCATCTTTATTTGTTTGAGGCAAATAAAGAATTATTACAATAATAATACTCCTTTTTGGTCTCAAACCATTGTGGCAAATAATAATTTCCCACAATGGTTTCCAGGGGGTTCCCCTGCATCAAGATCAACCCAATATGGTACATTGCTAGTCATGCAGTTATTAGTTGATATTGCTTAAAACAATCCCTTTCACCCCAATGCATACCTATAATAACAATATACTAAGGGGAAAAGGGGATTGTTAGTAACATGGATTGATAATCTCATTACTGGCAATGTACCATGTCAGGTTGACCTCCACCCGGTACCCCCTGAAACCATAGTGATAAATTTTTAGTGAATTTGTTACTATGGGCTAACTGACCTGGCCTCAAACTCATCTTATCATCCTTCAGTGGTGCACCGCCAGCGTAAACCGTTAGCGCATGCGGGTGCTCTATTCCATTATCATCCATAAAAAAAATAATAATAATAACAATATACTTCAACACTAAAGATTTTAACAGGATACATGCTATTTAAATAATTTACAATTTTATAAGTTAAAAATCTGGGTTGATGTGTGTATGTAAATAAGTGACCTGTTATTAAAGAAAAAGAAATGGAAGAATAAATTACAAGTGTCAAATAAAAATAAATCTGTCAGTATACTTCATTGTTAAGTTTGTAAATTAAAATATTTTTTTAGAGGTAAGTATCATCACAAATACAAAAATATATAGTATGCAATATTATATCATTGTTTGGCATATATTGCTATAAAAACATTAATATGTATCAATTTTAGTAACATACAGTAATGTTATTCAGTCCATTTTGTAGCTTGAAACATTGCGTCTGTACCACACTTTTCAAGACGCCAGACAAGCTATAGACCAATGGCAACGCAGGATCTGGTACAGACGCTTACGAATGATCCAATACACAATACTATAAAATTGCTAAGATGAATATAAATATTGAAATTGAATTTCTTATCGTTTAAAGGTTACCAAATCTATGTTACATATTTTTAGATGTCGATTATATTAATGATGCGAATATATTGTCAGAAATAAATACAAACGTAATATCTACACACTTGTGCTGGCGGGTAAATAACTTTAAAATACTTACTATCATAATAATAGCACACTCTTTTCTTACTGTGTGGTTGCATAGCCATTTTAATGACTTAAACTTATTAATGTATCCAACGAAAATAAATAATTATTTTACTGATGGATGAAAATTATAAATCAGCAAATACCGACAGCGTTTCAAGCGGACACATATCACAGAGTAACAAAACTTCACTTCACAGTTCACAGATTCACTGTTCACTGCACAGACAAAAAAAAGCAGACAGCCATAGATTAAAATTTTCAGTTTTCCTAACAATGTTTAAACTGCTAAATACCAATAATTATGGTCGAGTGAAAATTATTTATATAAAAAAAAAAGTTTCGATACTTTTTCCGTTATAAACGCAGTTATGTATAACATGTATTATAATACAATGACGGAAACCAACTGCTATCTAACTATCATTCACTGCAGTTATTATCACACCGGTACACATGTATTATACCTTCGTCTTGAATCACTTTATTTATTGCTAAAAACTACATTAAAATCCGTTACGTAATTTAAGAGATTTAATTAAATAGACAGCAGGGCGACTTTAGCAGCAATAGCAACTTCATTTTCTATTATTTAGAGACTTAACGTTATGTCACCGGTTAAAATGTTGTTCTTATACTCATTAAAATGATCAAAAGTCAATATTTAGTTTAGTATTTATGTATATAAAAAGAGAAAACATATTTAATAATAAAAAACATGACTCTGAGTCTCTCAGGAAAATAGTGTTTCCTTATTTGCCTTCTTCATAAATGGAATTCCAATAGTTTAGTCAGGTATTACGCATATGTAATATGTCAGGTACATTATGCATATGTTTTCGATTACATATGAAGAATAAAACTTATGGAAATGTGCAATGCAGTGTCAGCTATATCAACTGTCGCACAAAACTTTGACTTCAGAATGGCTATTGTATTTATATTTTTAATGCATTCTTATTTTTAGCATTTTCAACATTGCATTTTTTTTAATTAATGACCGTGTTCTGTTTTTAGAACATTATAATTTAATGGCTTTTTTAAGTAGTTCCATTAGCATACTTATGAAAGCTTTGTACTTTTTTATGAGAGTCTATGGTGTTCTACTTAGTGGCCCCGCCCAAACGTTGTGAGCAACACTGAATTTCGTAACGATTTCTTTCCGTGACAGCAGTGGTCAAGGTAAGACGTGTTTCGAATTATTATTTTTATAATGAAATTTTTCTTACGTGTTACTTCTTTTCTGATATCCTTAACTGTTTAAATTGTGCGTATCTATAACCAATATATTTCAACAATTAATATATTTTATTCTAAGATTTTGACTTTGTAATCATTTTGACATTTTTATAATCATCCATCTTGTTTCAGACATATCGACCCTGCTTCAATTTCATTGGCAACAAATCCAATTTTAATAGGAACATCATCCATTGAATTTCAACACTGATAATGTGAGTATAAACTTAATAACCTTTTATTTAGGTTTTATTATTTATTTTTTATAATAACTACTCTTTATTAATGGTTGGTGTCTGTCTATCTATGTGGTCTTATTAAATACCACGTCCATAATTGCCACGACCTACACTTTTACGTCGTACATATGATTATATTTTTCAAACCGTTTCTAACAATATTTAAAAACGTTTCAAATCCTTAACAAATTTAGTACAGTATTCATACTTGAAGAAATTATTAACATAGTTTACATCCTTCTCTTAACATGTCTTCTCCCACATACCATGCCATAGTAAATTTCTACTAACAAAAGTAAAACTTAATCTTTCATTTGAGAGGTATTCATACCGCACAAGTTGTATATGACTATATTTTTAAACCTAAATTTTTTGCATTTAATATATCAAAACACGCTAAGATAATATCCATATGATATTATCTTAATCCATCTTTGAAATTAAATTAAATTTTATACGATGTTTAATCTAATTCATTATTAACCAATGTATCAACCATAAAAAGTATGAAATGAAAGTTTCTATCCAGCGGCATCTACATATCCACTTCGTTCTTCTTTGACAAAATGGCGTCTTTATTTGCTATTGACCTATTTATGTATACCTACTGTATTTATTCTCAATTTCTTTTGTATTATGAAATTGTAAAGGGGTGACGAATTTATTACTTTACTACCTTCGTTAGGAATACTATAGGATCTTTGTCTTATCATATGGCCCATTTAGTATAGTACTTACAGTATGGTAGGTAAGTATGGTTATATGTAAAGGAAATACATATGATCTAAAAAGTTGTGTAGATATGTGTATAATTGAATGTTTTGGATATTATAGAATATTATAGTTAATCAAGTACACGACTTTGTCAAACACGTGTTGTTTGACGTCATCCACTTTGATATAATAACCAGATATTAATTAATTAATATTTTATTAGGTCTGGGAATTGGAACAATAGCCGTGGCGGAAACGGCAATTCCCGATTTGGGAATGGCGGAGGAAACAAATTTGGCAACAATGGGGGTTCTAAATTTGGCGGAGGCGGTGGTGGTGGCCGCTTTGGAGGTTTTGGTGGGAAGAAAGAGTTTTCGGGCGGTCAGAGCATGCGAAAGCCGAATTGGGACACCCTAACTTTGCAGCCGTTCAACAAAGATTTCTACAACCCCCATTCTTTTGTATTAAATAGATCTGAATATGAGGTAGAAGAGTACAGAAATCAACATGAAATTACTGTTAGTGGATTAGATGTCCCAAATCCTATCCAACAATTTGAAGAAGCAAACTTTCCTGATTATGTAATGCAGAGTATCAGTAACATGGGATATAAGGAGCCTACAGCTATTCAAGCACAAGGATGGCCTATGGCCATGTCTGGAAAGAATTTGGTTGGCATAGCCCAAACTGGATCTGGTAAAACATTAGCTTACATTTTGCCTGCCATAGTACATATCAACAACCAGCAAAAAATAAGGCGTGGGGATGGTCCTATTGCTTTAGTGCTGGCTCCAACTAGGGAGTTAGCTCAACAAATTCAACAGGTAACTACTGATTTTGGCAACACTTCATATGTTCGTAATACCTGTATATTTGGTGGTGCGCCAAAGAGAGAGCAAGCACGTGATCTGGAGAGGGGTGTGGAAATTGTCATTGCAACACCTGGCAGACTAATAGACTTCTTGGAAAAAGGTACCACCAATCTTCAGCGCTGCACATACTTGGTTCTGGATGAAGCTGATCGTATGTTGGATATGGGTTTTGAACCTCAAATTAGGAAGATCATTGAACAGATTCGCCCTGATAGACAAACTTTAATGTGGTCTGCAACATGGCCTAAAGAAGTAAAAAAATTAGCTGAAGATTATTTAGGAGATTACTTACAAATTAATATTGGGTCATTACAGCTCTCTGCAAACCATAACATTTTACAGATTATTGATGTTTGTCAAGAACACGAAAAGGAAAACAAGTGAGTTGTCTATTTTTTTATAATGTCAGGAACAAAATCTGTTATTTTCAATTTATATACTTTTGATAAATGATGACATTGCAGGTTATGATTTGATTTTGATTAAATACATAATACAATCCTCTAAGAAGATCTGATACTATAACTTCTAAATTAATAAATAGCATTTGGCTATTATAATATTGCTGTATTTTTTACCATTGCTTTTATTTACAGATTAAATGTATTATTGCAAGAAATTGGCCAAAGTCAAGAACCAGGTGCCAAGACTATAATATTTGTTGAAACTAAGAGGAAAGTAGAAAATATAACTAGAAACATTAGAAGATATGGTTGGCCAGCAGTTTGTATGCATGGAGATAAAACTCAACAAGAAAGAGATGAAACCTTATATCAATTCAAACAGGGCCGTGCCAGTATTCTTGTTGCAACTGATGTTGCAGCTAGGGGATTAGGTATATTTCATTTTTTTATTTTTTTTATTATACATTTTTATCACAATGACAAATGCTTTTTAAAATTCATATAATTTATAACATGCATTTGTTTTTTATATTTTCAGAGGCACTGGCGGAAAGTTATTGTGTTCTGGTAGCTACCCCAATTTTATGGGCAAGCTTACTGCACTGGATTTGTAGATGAGAAGTCTGATGCAGTTTTGTCTTTACTAGAGAATGCAATAACTCGTCATTATTATGGTGCCTCAAAAGTGCCTTTCACTATGATTGGACCCGAGGCCGGAAAGCTTGATGGTATGTCCGTAAATGCGGATACACTTGATAGTGTTGAAAACCTGGTGATGCACTACATTGAAAATTAAAATAGATGAGATTACCAATTTAAGAGAACAAATGGTGCATCGTTGAAAAACTTGACCAAGGATTGAGATGACAAGAGGTCAAGGGTTTTCTATTTCGGCCAAATGGAGTTTTAAATGGGGCAGTGTGATAAAAGCGGTGTTACATTGAATATGAGATAAACTTCCTATGCCCTTGACAAGACTCCAGGGTTCTGAGTGAGAGGCAATATTGACATTTCTGTATATCTGTGTAACTCATTCATGTAAGTAATGCAGTTATGAGTTACAATATCTAGATTAGATCAAGATTACTGTATATTTATAATTAATGTGTTGTTTATAGTTCATTTATAGTGAATCATCTTCATATTTTTATTACTGAAATTATAAAATAGTTACTAATAAATATTTTTTACAGATGTGGATGGAATAAAGTATGTCATTAATTTTGACTACCCTAACTCTTCTGAAGACTATATTCATCGTATTGGTAGGACAGGTCGGTCAAAGACGAAAGGAACATCTTATGCATTCTTCACACCCTCAAACTCTCGCCAAGCTAAAGACCTTGTATCTGTACTTCAAGAAGCCAACCAGGTAATAATTTCACTTCACATACATAATTCATAATTTTATTTACATATTCCTCATACCTTTGGCATGGGTACGTTTCCATAGCGTAACATGAATGCAAGTATGAGGTACAGAAAAATACAGCTACATGCCTTCGGTGTTCACACATTTTTCTGTCTGAATCCCATCCTCAGATGTTGTAACAGTGTTTCATTTCTCCGAGTCTACCTGCAATACCCATCATTTTTAATTTTATATTTATCCAATTCCTAATAATGTCATACTCATTTTGAGGATGCTAGTTCCCCTTTTGTGCAGGAAAACTTTAGTTTAACTTTAGACAAGACTAGTTTTTTTTTATTATTATTTCATCATTATTTCTGATAAAAAAATATAGTTAAGTTAAAGAATATTTATGTATTGTTTCAGTCTGTTAATCCACAACTGCAGTCAATGGCTGACCGATGCGGCGGTGGTGGCGGAGGTGGTTGGAATAGAAACCGATATGGAGGAGGACGCTCAGGGGGTGGATCTTTTAAACGTGGCAGTAACTTCGGTAGGGGTCATGGACAAGGAGGGGGCGGTGGCCATAAAAGATTTAATGATTATTAAGTGTATAAAATAAATATAGCAAATCCTCATAGGAATACTTGACTGTGTGAAAGTGTAATAGATATTGTTCTGGTTGTTTGATGATCCAGTAAGCTAGTTATTTATTATGCATCCCTTGTTTGATCATCTGTATTTAAGTTTATCGCACTGTGATATTTTTTTTATCTGTGATTCTAGTGGGGATTAGCTTAAACATAAAATAATTGTCTCGCTAAATCATGGATTTTACAATGTAAGACCATGGTACTGATGTTATTACCTGTTTTTATATTCCATTCTAAGTATAGTTTTTAATTTATAAGTCTGCTGAAATTTCGACTAGTTTCCTTGATTCCACACTCCTGAACCTTGGTCCATGTGAAAATGTCTAATTAAATGTACTAAAAGAAAATGGTTGTTTTTGATTTTGAATTTTGATTCCTGCAACTGACGCCTAAACGCCTTTTAATATTCTCCAAAACTGATAATGGCAATTCATCCTCCACCGACTACACATCGTGGTAGATTAGCGGTGGTATACTGTGAATTTGCTTGTCAACATGGTATTCAGTGACTACGGATACAGTGCTTATGTGAACAAAGCATGTTTTGTCGTAATCATATATATGTGAAGTTGTTTCTAAGTTTTTATGTTCTAATAATATAAAACTACATTCAATTAATATAAATAATGTAATTAAAAGGAAAATATGTGTTATATATTTTTGTTTCTTCCATCTAATTAATATAAATAAAATTGCATATTTTCTGTTACAGTTTTATTACTTAAAACCTATTTCTATGACTCCATTCTATGATGAATATTCTATTTTCACAAAATGTTCCGTTAATGCATTATTATTTTCCAAATTGTCATTAGTAATAAACGTGAGAAGCCATTAAAAAGAAAATAATGAAAAGGTACAATGATTTTCAAGGTTTTGTCTTCATAGGATTCAAATAAACATCAAATACAGTTGTTGTGTGAATCTATGGAAACTTTTGTTTTTTAGAACTAATGCAAGTTTGTTACATTACATTGATTAAATTTTGGTTAAATTCTCATAGGGGTGGAGCGCTCTTATATTATATATCTCAATTGTACTGTGGTTACTTGTTCATTTTCTTTTTTTTTTTTGGTTCTGTTTATCCTTTATCGTCAAGGCAAAGGGAACTCTGTCCATACAGCCATGTCTTCATATTTTTGATTTTCTAGATATTCTTTTGTATATTTGTTTTCAAATATCTTGGATTGTTGGGATTATGTATTCATATAGTGCAAAAATGTTCTTGAATTTCTTAATATTTCCTGGAGAGTACGCGGGATATGCTCTTCACTGTGATAGATTTCAAGAAGTCTTCCGGATAGAAGAAATTCGTTTTACAGAAAAATTACACACTTAAAAAATATGTGTTTCAGTGATTGAGAATCTCCTGTGCTGCAGTGGGTACATGTGAGAGAAGAAATCATTCTAAATCTGTGCAAATGTTCATTAAATAAGCCATGTCCAATCCTCAGTCTACAGATAACCTTATAAAAATGTCTGTTTATAAATTTTCCTTTCGTAAACCAAGGATTTTTAATATCTTTTTTTATATTTTCATACCATTTTCCTTTATGTTGTAGAGTCAATTCCCATTCTTGTTTCCATTTACTCCTTATATGTATATGATTTAAAAGGTACAACTAAGTCTAAGCCTGGCAATGGTAGTTTTTTTCTTCAGTGTGAACATTACATGAAATTATAAGTTTAGCTAATTCATCGGCTTTTTCATTTCCTATAACTTACTCGTTCAGTGTTTGACACAAGTATGCCTGATCTGTACAGATGACATTTACATATTGTCAAAGTTATAAAATTAATTTATATATTTTAGTTACTTATATAAAGTTAAATATATTAATATTTGTAATAAGTTAATAAATAATTTAAAATGGCTCTTAATAGACTTTTAAAACGAAGGGATCTATGTAACTATTTGTAAGTATTTTGCATTATTTAATAATTCCTTATATCCCTTCACATAACCACAAATAGTACACTAATATTTAATCAGTAGTTGATGATGATATAGTGATCTTGCCTGTGGGAATTTTATACCGTGGCCGCTAATCTTTAATTTTGGATATGGAGACAGGTACATCGATAGAAATAAATACTATTAAATTATGACCATGCGCGTTTACCGGTACAAGTTAACTTTAATTGAAACCCTGTTGGAGTAGAACATAAAAGCGACGTTTATTGAGATGTACAATATTGGTTATAAAATCTGACCAGAGTAAGGTTTAATGAAGCCTTACTCAGGTCAGATTTTATAACCAAACTAAACTTATCAAAACTGTTGTGTGCTGTTGGGGTGATATTTTAGATTTTTTTCTATTATCTGCTTACTTATAAAATAGTTTTTTTTTGGTGGGTACAATGTAATAGTGATCCCACATGTGATTGTTTGTATACTATGTTACATATATTCTGTTGAGACATTATAGAAGAATCATTGGAATGAGGATAAGTTGAAGGCATTTAGTACATTATGGTAAATTTTCTTGGCATTCAACATACCCAAGTCGATGGTTATCTACTATCCGTGCTATTTTACATTAATATTAATTAATAAATTGTTATTATTTCAGATTTAAAAATAATATAAAACAGATTTCTAAAGGAACTGTCTCAAGCAATAAATTAACAAACAGAGCATTATCATGTACAAATCAAATGACAATTTTAACTTCCACTCCACTAAGATTACTTCTCAACCATAGGTTTTATTCTATAAAAGCTGCCTATGAAGATGATGTCAGATACCGTAATGAGCATAATATTACTGTTATTGGGCAGGACATTCCAAGTCCATATATTAATATTGATAGTAGTGAATTTCCAGATTATATAAAAAGCTTTTTGAAGAAACAAGGCATAGAAAAACCTACTATAATACAGTCCCAAAGTTGGCCAGTGGCATTAAGTGGTCAGAATTTTGTTGGTATTGCTCAAACTGGCACTGGTAAGACTTTAGCATTTCTTTTGCCAGCAGTTGTGCATATAAAAGAAACTACTGGCAGAAAAGGTTTGGGACCGAGAGCACTTGTTCTGGCTCCAACAAGAGAATTGGCACGTCAGATTGAAGTTGTGGCAAAAGATTTTTCCAGTTTGCTGAATATTCGATGTGTTTGTATATATGGGGGGGCACATAGAGGAAAACAAGCAGAATTACTTCAATCTGGAGTTGATATTGTTATAGCTACACCTGGCAGACTAAATGACTTTTTGGTCAGTAACACTACAAATCTCAGTAGATGCACATATGTTGTTCTTGATGAAGCAGATAGGATGTTGGATATGGGTTTTGAACCACAAATCCGACAAGCACTAAATGGAGTACCACTTGAAAGACAAATATTGATGTTCTCTGCAACTTGGCCAAAAGAAGTGAGACATTTAGCTAAAGATTATTTAGGAAAATATGTTCAAGTCAATGTTGGTTCTACAGAGTTGTCAGCTAACCACAATATTGAACAAAATATTCACATTTGTTTACAAGAGGAAAAAATAAAAACGTGAGTGAAAATTACTACTAAATAGTATATGGTAGTTTTTATGACTTTTGAAGATGATTTATATTGTATTGTATGCCTGAGATATGGGTATACTATATAAATAATTGCACTAAGCAAGGTTATGTATACTATAGTAATATTGATATTATATTATACAGCCATTATTAAATTTCTTGTTTATTCTAATTCCAAATTAATATAAATATGTCTTTACCCGATGGTGTATGTGTATTCAGTGTGCATATTACTTATTCCTAAGCTATACAATATGCCTACTTACAGTAGGTTTGAAGTAGCTAATATGTGACACCTACCTCCTATCTCTGAACTATTTTGTAAATATTTGCATTTCTTTACAGATTTAATTCTATAATGCATAACATATCAGGTGATGGATTTGGGAAAGTTTTAGTATTTGCAAATACAAAGAAGTTTGTTGATATGTTGACATTGGCACTTAAAAGAAATAGTTGGCTTGCAGTGGGCATTCATGGTGATAAAACTCAACTCCAAAGAGACACCATTATCAATAAGTTCAAAAAGGGTAACTGTAATATTCTGGTGGCCACTGATGTTGCTGCAAGAGGACTTGGTTAGTCAAATTTTATATTAATGTTAGCTGTTTCTTGCGAATTCACCTATGTGGAATAATGGAATTCCTATTGCCCACAGAATCTTTTAGGATATATTCTGTCGGAGCTTGCTGGTTACTAGGAGTATGTACTGAAAATAATTGATTTTATGAAATAAAATTGCATTTAGATCACCTGGTAAACTTATAGGTCCTTAATAAAGTCACCATAGAATAATTTCTTGTATCTAAGACAGCCTCGAAGACAGGTACCTTTACCATTATGATCAAGGTTCCAAAATAATCTACTTAGTAAACTACTAAGTAGGTTAACCAATCTTAGCAAACCACTCTTTGTGATTTCTTAAAAAAATCTGTAAAAATAGTTATCTATAAATTTGATATGTTATGTAACTCCAGGAATAACTCACTTGAGAATATTTCCCTCAAAAAAGTAGTTATATTTAATAAAATATATCACACTACAAGAAATTAATGAGTAAGAATGTTTTTAGATGTGGATGGCATAACTCATGTGATTAATTACGATTTCCCGAACACAACTGAGGATTATATCCATCGTATTGGACGAACGGGTCGGCAACAAAATAAAGGTGTAGCACACACGATGCTAACCAATGACGACGCCAGGCAGGCACGAAATTTAATAGCTATATTGAAAGAAGCTAATCAGGTATACAAGTTTATCACAAATGTATTATAATAATAATGATCTCAAGATAATTCACACAGTGCCATCTAGACCCAAGTTAAGCCAGCTAAAGGTGTGTGTGTGTGTGTGTTATGAGTACTACAAAACCTGATACAAATACATAGATATATTTTTTTTGTACATACATATATATTATACATAGAAGACATCGCCCCCAACAAAAACGGCCATACTCAGGAATACAAATGTTTGTTTCGTGGGAGGAATCGAACCCGCGACCATGAGAAGTAAGATAGCTTGTTAAACGCTAGAACACTATCTGATTGGGCATTTCTTCCCTTTGGGAAGAAAATTGAAGTTCAGGCAATTTTTGTCAATACATTTGCATGGTCAAATGAATAGAGGACATATAGGTGTCACTTATACGAAGCAGCACATTACGTATTATTTAGTTGCTGAATATATAGTTACCCTCGTTACAATTATATCACAAAATATCTGTGCTTGCAATTCCGACATATTTAGTATTCGAAATAATTATAGCTTACTACTATCATGGCATACATTTTTGTTTGTGAAATAATTGAAATGAAGCAAATTTTATATTTCATGGAAAGTTCACTACAATATATCAGTGAAAACCTGATTACAAGTAGGTTCTTATTATTTTTGTTAGCATATGCAAAAACGAGATAAGAATTTCATAAAATGTATCTTACCTCCTGACCATAACTAGTATGTACAATTGTCACTCTCTTGGATTTAATTATAACTTGTAAATAATAAAAAAAATAATTTCAGAACATCCCAGTAGAATTGGAGGATTTATCTCGAAGTTATAGCGCGGATAAAGAACAGCAATCGAAGTTTAAATCAAGGCAGTATGGCTGGAATGCAAACAGAAGATTCAATAACTATCGTTCATCAAATAAGCCGAGCTACAATAGTAATAATTATAGATATTAACAAAATTATTAGAGAAGTTTTAATAACATTTTATAGTTAAATGAAATGTTTGATATAATATGTAATAAAATTGTATTTAAAGAGTCTACACAGGGCCCTAAAATCGGTGGCTATATTGGAGCAATGGTGGGGAGTGTTCTAACTGTGCTCCCTTATTCATCTCTTCTGGGAGAATAATATTAATTACGATTTCTCTACATATCAGATCATTTAGGACCGCTACTGCTACTTTAGGGTTATGTGTAGACGTTTTTTATTCTTGGGATATAATACATAAATTTTATGTTATAGTTCCTTTTAATCTCTTGTCATATTCATGTCTATACATCTACATGCTAGATCCTATATTGAGTAAGAAGAAAAAAATTGTGCCCTGTTTTATTTTATATAGCTCTTGCCATTCCACTTTTGTAGCTCGTTTCATGAATATATGTAATTTCCAGGGTCTGTAAAATTAACTCATCCTTAAGGTAGTGTATGATCTGTGAGATCTTGATAATAGTCTGTCAGCGTACATAAAGCAAGACTTTTTGTATCATTTAACATACAGATTGTATAAGTGATATTTTGTTTAATTTGATTTGACAGTATGTTTAAATGTCAAACTAACAACAGTACATATACCTGTTTTCATTTTACACCGATATATGCTTTTGAACTAACTATTGTACTTACTGTACTGTTACGTTCCTTGTCAGTACAATGAGCAAGTTACGTAGCGAAAATTTGTGTAAAGTAAATATATTTTTTTAATATTTTGTACACATCATGTTCAATTTGAGATTCGAACTAAAATTAAAACTTCTGAACTTTTATGAGATTCGATAGAGCTAATTCAGATAGTATTATGCAACACTCAAAAAACAATAATTTTGTAATTTGACAATTAATATGATATTAATACTATTATAGTATTCTATATAGATGTATATATATATATAAAATACGTATATTTATTTCACATATTAATTTTTTTTTCGATATGTAGTTATTTTCGATGTAAAATAATAATATAAACAAACCCCTGAACTTATGTATGTTAAAGTACTCTAAGAATCTTCAAAGGTTGGTTTGTATTAAATTTACATTGGCAGTTGTAAATTATGTACGTTAGGTATGAATGTGTTAGTTTTAATAATATATTAAAAACTAATACAATAGCAGTGCCTAGTTTCATTTAATATTAATTTTAAATTATTCATTAGTTTCAATGCAAGATATAATTTTCGACATAAAGAACGTAATAACTATATAATAATTTAGTTAGGACAAAAATAAAGTTTTCATTTTATTAAATGGATATCAGACTAGAATAAGAATAATATACAAAAATTAGGCAAATATCGTTTATCATTTTCTCAAAATATTAATAATTGAGATCTATTTGTACTTCTAATGAATCTGACAAGTGTATTTAAAAAATGATTCATTAATCAACATGAATGGTCCAATATTACACAGCCAAAGAAAGAAAAAAATATATATTACACAGAACGATACAGGGACATAAGTTAAATTCTAAGACTGGAAATAAATTAAAAAATGACCTAGTGCACTATACAAAAGAAACTGTTTCTATGACAACACACTTTCGTTGTGACTAGTGACAGAACTGTTACTACTCAGCATTTGTGGATTAACAATCACTAGAATCACTACATAATCCTATATTTCTAGGTGTAAGTAGTATCAAAGCCTTAGACGTGGAGAAGCTCAGCAAGTAATCAAAAACAATAGTGCATGGCATTATTATAATCAATGGCTTTGCCTGATTTAGATGTTAGATCCGTATTGAGTGTTGTAGAAGAGAATTTTCAAAAATTAGCCTTGGTGAATATCTTAATTTTGACTTTGTTAAACTGCGTTTGCGAGGGTACTTCAGTCTATTTCATCCGCCAAACTGTCTTGTACGATTAGGCAGTGAAATTATAGGATTAGAGGCACGACATCTTAGTTCTCCGGAATGGCAACACGTGAGTGGTATCACGGGCGTCACATTATTGATGGTGGGTGTTGCTGGCCATGTAGATGAATGGTTATCGCTTACCATCAGGTGGCCCGTCAGCGTGTTTGCCAATCCAATGACAGGAGAAAAAGTTGTCTTCGACTTTTGTATTTTATCATTTGGTATCCACAACTGACCAATATATGTATCTTTTTAAATAATTGAAAGACAAGCCATACAAAGTAAAACTATTTCAAGTGAACGATAGCTATTGTTACTTTTGTTTCCGTTCTAGAAAGCCTATGCCATTCGCATGATTTATATCGGAGAACACACTTTAAAAAAAGATGAAATAATACAAAAGTTTCATAAGACTATACAAGCAGTAAATGCTTCATACTGTGAAATAAATGTCCGTGGATTGCTGTTGGTGTATGACAGTTACTTTGTACATGTCATAGAGGTATGTATTAACAGTAGGTAGACTATATTCTTCTTCTTCAGACGTACACTCTTGACAGCGTGGTCGTGGCTTTTATGATGGTATCTCTTCGTTGAGTTCCTCGCAATTTGCCTCCATCTGCTATGGTTTTTGGCGAGAAGGACGAGAAGCCAGTACAATAGTGTGCCGTTTTTATAAGGTCAGTGTATCACATTGGTGATCGTACCTGAGAACGTTGACGGCAAACGTTCCACTGAACCTTCGATAATAATTAGCCGCTCCATACAGTTTTACGACTATATTACAAAGCATCTTTTATGTCCCATTCTTGTCTTATTCGTTTATTATCTGGTGCGTCTGTATGTATTGTTTCTGCTTTTGTTAAACATGTAACATACTTTTTATTTTGTATATGATGGTATGTATTCCGTCGTTAGTCTCGACTGGAATGAATATTGTAATATGGTAGGTACGTAACTATTGTCACCGATAGAGATCGTGTGTCGTCGAGCTGCCGCCGTCCCCGAGTCATCCAGTAGCTGTGTCAATATTAATACCTAATGGCTTTGTATTATTTTTTTGTTTAACCACAAATATTCAATGCGGAAACTTGACTACATGACGATATTCTCTAATGGCGGTCAAATTCCGACTTTTATTGATCTACACCCATAATGCGACACATGTTGTACCTACAAAAGAGCTCGGATATTTCTTGGAAGCCTTAGTAGGATTTTGTATTTTATATTATATTTTATGGTCTCACCCATATGAGACCTAATTCAATAAAATATGCAAATATTATCGTTTAAATCGGAATACAGAAAATTGTTTAATGACAATATGTAGTTAATCCCTTTGATCTTCTTAAATCTAATTTTAATATTATTAAAGAGTAAATTACAATCTCCGATATTAGATTTCTTGTTTATTTGTAAAATACAGGGATCTGAGGATACAGTATATAGGCAGTTAAGATTTCTTTTTAAATTTGAATCTGACTGGATAGAAGAGATGAATAGGTTGGATGACGAGGCAGCCCAGGCCGCTGTTGCTGCAGCCGAGGAAGCTGCCGCGGAGGGAATTACAGTGATCCTTGAGGACGACTCACATCAGAGACCGGAACGAAAAATATTTAGGCGTTTGAAAATGTTGATGGTGTATCATTCTATAAAGACGGTGAGTTATAAATGCAAAGGAAACTTTATTTGAATAACAAAATAAAACAATAGACGACCTCGGTGGTCTAGCGGTGTTGTACACTGCCCTACTTCCTATGGTTGCGCGTAAGATTCCTCGATTTTGTATTCATAAGTACATATTGTTTGTATTGGTCTGTTTGTTTTTTATGTGCGTTGTGTAGGTTTGCATTTACAAAAACAATTGTCCTTAGAACTTTCTAGTTACAATTAAATTTTAAACTTGTATTTTCTAAGCCAATATTTGAAGAATGGGAAGCGGTAACAGCACACCCACCTTCCTTAATCGGGAAGTTAGATGTGTTTGGACCCTTGGCTGAGCATATGGAACAACTACGTATATGTTTGGACAAGATCAACAGGCTGTGTGAATTGGCCAAAAGTGATGAGCCCGTAAGTTCTCTGATCTTTTTTTAAAATTCTAACTATTTACGTATTAGTACTAAAAACCCCATTACCACTTCAATAATAAAGGAGTGCGTTTATACAGTTGCAGAGTTTTTATTGATCAGAGAGATTTGTAGATATTAATTGTAATCATGCAGAAACAAATTCTACCTTTACCAAAACCTGGAAGGACCTAGAGAGTTTTACTAGAGAGACAGAAAAAATGGTACCTACCTATTTATTGATCGGTAACGCTTACTTGATACCTCTGGTGATTGAGGCAGGAAACCATTTACTATTATATAGGACGCATGCTTGCTTGCAACCATTGTGTTCTTTATTTGCAGTTGTCGTTTGAAGGGTTGACTGCAGTTGATGCTAAAATGGATGCGTTGCCAGAGGTGGGGTTGTTGGATTATTTATTGCAGTCGCAGCATATTCTCGACCTTCATCAAGTGGCGCATTTACACCGACGTGTAGATGACTACTGCTTTTATTTTGGTAAGCACAAATACCTGTGTTGCCAACCTTAATACATTAAATCTCGTACGAAGCAGTCAAAATTCTCGTGAATGTGTTCAATTTGGCTCTAACCTCGTATATCATCATATTTTGATCGAATTCCGAATTTGTACACACTTGAACTATGTATGATTAAAATGTTCTCATAGAGAAGGCCCCAAAACTCGTATCTGTTGTAACTAATTCTAGCACAGGCATCAGTATTATCTAACATCTCTAACAAATATACTTTCATGTAAAGCCTGAGTGACGGTGAGATTTTTAGTAATGGGGAGTATTGGTTAGTTTACGTTGTTTATTAAAATACTTTTGATTTGATTGTATTGCGTAGTCACTAACCATTTTGAATTTCAAATTTAAAATCGTAATTCTAGATGTTGATGTTGAGTATTATTATATTAAAACTAAACTGACGAAGTGAGTTTTGGAAGTATAACAATAAATGGGCACTTAAAGGGTTTATCTCTTTCTTTTCAACTTAAAATTACTTAATTTAACAGGAAAGGGATAATCAATCATTAGATATCGCTTATTAGGATATTTTTAAGGCACACGTGTTTATGACTAAAAGTATTAAAGAATTTGTTTACTACAGAAAACGTCTGGCCATTGCCGACGCACTTCACTCCTCGTCATCTATACAAGCTGAAGATTGATGATTCCTTCGTGGAACCACTGCCTGTGATGCCATGGGAGCATGTGAAGGAAACGACAGAAGATGAAGAGAGACAAGAACAGAGCGGAAGCTCCTCCAGTGACTGAATATGTAACCTATAATAGACTAAAATAATATGTATGTACTACATTTTCGTCTGTCGTTGAAAAACCTGAAACCTATATTCACAAAACTAAAATTACACAGGACAGATGTCGAACAGGAATATTACCTAATCAAAATATTGTAAAAATATTTTACTAATTCTGAAATACATAATGTATCCCTATGAAATACTTATGTCAGTATTTTGTATAATTTAGAAGTGAGGTCATATTTTTTTCTATTCTATATATTCTTTATTCCAACTTTAATCAACCGAAACTATGTAAATAATAAAAAATTATATTTCTTTAATAAATTGTTATTTATTACTAATTTATTTTGAATGAAGCGAACTATTGTCTTTTCAACAAATTTTTATTAAGGATTAGGATAAATCTCGAACCGATTATGATTATTATTAATATCTAGACACGCGGCAGCGTGTCAAGCCGAGTTTCAAGTAAACTGGCTTGCAGCACCGTGTGTATATTTACACGAACCATTTGGAGCCACTTTTGACCCCCTCATAACTCAAAAACTCTTTCACACAAACCTGTCAAATTTGGTTCATATATTGAGACTTGCGAGATAAATATGTGTTCCAAATTTCATAAACATAACTCAAACGGTTATTTAGATATTAATGTCCAAAAATCGTCATTTTTATCACTGATCAACTATAGATCAAAATTATAACCCACTTCCAGATGACCTAGGAAGTTCAAATTTGGTATGCAGATAGGTAATTAGGTGAATATAAAGGAAAAAATCTGAAACTGGTAAATTGTTATCATTTTACTACAATTTTTCACTTTAATTGATTCTATTTCAACTTATACTGGACGAATACTAAAATTCTATGAAAACGTCGATAGCCACCAATTGACATTGATCCCTGGCGAAAAATCTCATCTTGTACTAGACGGAAAGTAATATTGTATGAAAACGTCGATCATTACCAATTTACGTTGACCCCTTCACATCAGTGTCGATAACTAGCAAACTTCAAATATTAATTGAGCGGTAAACACTAGTTGCTATAATTTAGATTCTGTCTAAAATATACTCGTACTTATAACTAGAAGTATAGTCGAATTTCGTATTTACATATTATGTTATTAACTGAGATTTGGTATTAATTATTGTTTCAATATTTAGCGCACATCGATAGTGTAAAATCATTATTTTTATAAATAATTATTAAATAATAGGCATTTCGGTATAGGGCGCCGCGGTGGCGCCGTGTGGGAGCGGTGCGATAAAACTCAATGTTTTGTTTCTGGATATCTAACCTATAAGGTTGCGATTTATGCTACGAAATTTATAGCTTTCTTAAATTATACTTATATGTATATTTGTGATTATATTATTATTACATTATTTTAGTAAATACGTATGGTATAGACAATAGTTTAAACCAAAAATTAATAACAATTTTAGTATAGTTATAAGTAGGAATGTACAGTTAACTCGAGAATGAGAACTTATTGGTAACAAATTGTTTTCTTGAGAATTCAATAGATAACAGTCAATTTGTTACATAATCGTCTTTACGAACTATAACGTGTCAATACGAAGTTTCAGACATTAAATAATGTATATGTTGATAGAGAACAATTCCGTATTTGCTTAACATGTGCTATTACTATCCACAAATCACAAGGCCTTAGTTTTGGCAGTCCTCTTCTCAACATAGCCTCCTCTATATTTAATAAAGGGCAGGTTTACGTTGGACTCTTCAAAGTTAAAACCTTAGATGGAGTACGTCTTAACAATTTAGATCCAAGTCACGAGAGCTCTATTGTAGAGTACAACCATCTGTGGACGTTATACCGCCCCGATTTGCCCAAAAGTTCCTGATACTGAATTGGCATTGCACTTGAACATTTAAAAGTTACAAGAAAATATAGAAAATAACACAAAAAAAAAAGACAATTATACCCCGTAAATATACGAAAATACAGTAATTTATCAAAAATAATTTGGTATTAATTTAATTATAAATAAGTACCTCGTATAATTTATGTACAAAAAGTAATGATATCCCATCAAAAACATAAATGTGAAATGATAGCCGAGTTTAATATTATGATATATGGCTTGATTGTTGACTTCTACGACAAAAGAGATGAGATCTAAATGGGTGCCAAGTTCAATGGTCTGTCCTGAAATGTATTTATAACAATATAAAATATCATTTCTTCTTATAACTTAGGATAATATACTGTAGCCTAAGGTCTAACTTGGCTAGTTTTCATATACGAAATATACTGTAGCCTTCGCAAGTTCTAAACATGTTACTTGTCGGTTCCTATTTTAATATTAATAGTAACTAGCAATCGAAAGTAATAATTGGTATATGAGAACTGGCCAAGTTAGACCTTAGGCTACAGTATATTATCCTAAGTTATAAGAAGAAATGATATTTTATATTGTTATAAATACATTTCAGGACAGACCATTGAACTTGGCACCCATTTAGATCTCATCTCTTTTGTCGTAGAAGTCAACAATCAAGCCATATATCATAATATTAAACTCGGCTATCATTTCACATTTATGTTTTTGATGGGATTAGTATTACGACACCTAGACAGAAAGGCATCGTTGAGATTCATAATAGTAGATATGTAATATTATCTTATCTGTGATACTAGTAACAAATTACTGTAAAGGATGTTCTTAGATACCTTAAATTAATATAGAAAAATATTGTGCAGTTTTATTAGTCACAATTAATCTATTCTGATTAGACAGTTTTCTGATAGTGGTAGGTACAAAAACAAACAGTAATGAGTTACTATAGTGATATTGATTTACCTTGTATGGATAAGTTTACCTAATTCAATCCTATCATCAGTATAAATCAGTCATGGATAGTTTAAAAAATAAAAAGCTTTCGAAAAGACAAATTAGAAAAACAGTTGCTGGAATAAAATTACCTCCAATAGTACCATCTATTGACACTCAAATAAAAACAATCTTGGACATTGATCCAGATTATTATTCTATAGTGGAAGGAAGGCCAATCAGACCGAATACGTCTATTCATAAATATAAGCAGAATATAAAGGAAGTAGCATTGAAGCGTACTCTTCATGGATTTTTGGTAGATGAAATACTTAGGATAGATAAAGAAATTGAAACTGAAAAGAACATATATGAAACCGCATCGAAACATTTTGAGGAATATCAAAACAGTTTTGATAAATTTTTGGCAGATGATAATAATAAAACAATTTCTATAATGAGGAAATCAGATGGCCTAGCGAAAGATTTGTTTAATCAGTCCGATGAATGTAAAAAGGCTAACTACGAAATGGCTTCGCTTAAATCAAAGTTGCAGTATATTGATGAAACTTTGATGATATTATTATCGTTTCAAAATTTTCTGTATAAAGCTGCTCCAATTTTATGGCGAGAAGAATATAAAATAAAGTTAGATACTAAATATAAGGAGATATTTTCTATGGATTCTGATATCTTCTGCAAAATAGACATTGACGCGATAAAAGAAAGATTAAATGAACTGCCTTCACCACGATTATATTTTGAAACACCGGATCAAATACTCATATTTTTTTATTTGTTAGAGAAACAAAATTTGAATTACTTATTAGTCACAGAAGAGTTGAACTCCGAGAAAAATAAATTTTTGAAAACTCTGGATATTTTAAAAATAAAATTGAGACACGAATTGGATTTTATTCAGCAGAAGGTAAGTAAGTGTAAATTGCTGTACCTGTATCTAATAAAATTATATAATAATAGATATAAACTGCGGATTTTCCCGCGTGAATTATTTTACGTAGTAATAACATTATCTGATTAATCTTAGAAATAAGTATCGGTGTACCAAATTTAGTTTAAATACGAATAAATACATTCTAGAGAGACTTTAATTTTTATTTTTCATTAATTTAAAGTAATCAGATTGTATCCCGCAGCTGTGCCATACCGTTGTATTATTTTTGACCTCGGTGGTTTTGCGCGATTTCAATTCCCATAGTATTAATATTTTCTTCCTTTATGGTCCTGGTTGATCTTCATTGTATGATGTGATTTCCACATTGTTTATACAGGTATACATAGTGTATCATACCTTTATAATAATTATAAAATTATGCATCTTAGTTTGGAACTATGGCACTGTAAAAATAATAAAATAACTCCTAATAGTCGCGGAAGTTTTTTTTTAATTTGTTCATGATTTCTAAAGGTGTTCCAAATGCTAATCCATTTGACAATTATGTTCTAGATTACCATTAGGAGTTAAAAATGACTTAAAACCTGATTGAGTTACTAACCATGACGCTTTATTACATGTCATATTTATTATGATTTAAAAATCATTATTTACTGAATTAAATTGTAGTCTTTTATTTTTACAGATAAAAGAAACGGAAGAAATTATAATATTAAACGATATACGGGAGGCAGAAATTAAACAAATATTTTTTAAAATTTTAGAGGAAAAAATTAGATATTTAGTATCATCTGAGTTGGCTCTGCAAATTTTTAACTTCGTAGAATTTACTTATGAACAAGTGATTGCTCCAAATGAAACTAAACTAAGTTCTTTAGAAATGGCTATAGCGCTAGAGAGTGAATATGACAACTTAATGATGGATATATCGGCATTTGATTTGGATTACACAAAGACAATAGAAACAGAAATATACGAACGTGGGGAAAAAGATATAAAAGACGCAAAAGAAGCAACTAAGTTATTGAAAGATATAGATAAAATAGGCCGGCGGCTAAAATCCGCCTATGAGCCAACAAGAAAAAAATTTAATTAATTTTTTTAATATACATAGACTATATGTTACTATAAAAGATAGACATATTTATTAGTGTTATTTAATCAAATAAAAATACTTTCTTGACATATTTCGACGTAGACTTTTTAGTAGACCTTACAAAAGCTACAAATGCTTTGAATAAATTTGTGTTCTTGACATTGATTAAAAAGAATGTTCTGACGTGTTTGTAGAATTTTATTCCGTTATACATATTTTTATTAATACTACTACATTATTATTACATTATAAATTATTCATATTTAATCATTATTTTAACTTGATTTGATAATGTCTTGGTTAAAAAAGGAGAGAAAACCTATGGTTCCATTAAAAACTTTGGATATAATATTTAGACGTCGTTATGTGCTAAACACGCAGCATTATTTTGCTAATAGGAAGCATGCTTTATCGGTAGAAAAAGAGAAAACAAAACGACTGCACCCATTTCGTTTACCGAGATCAGAAAAGTTGCTCTCTTATATAAAATATAGTGATAGAAGAGAAAAACAGACTATAAAGAACAGGTTAGCACAACCGCTATTTCTAAAAGATAATTTTAAAATAGCCGCAACTAGAGATATTTCTAAACGGTTATTTATTGAAGATACACCAGACGATGTGAAAGCAGTTGTTGAAATGCATCCTGAATTTTACACTGTTATTGAAGGCCGTCCTTTAAGATGCTTTGATGATATTAAAGTATATTTAAGTAATATTCGTAGTTACGCTATGAGTAGACAACAAATTGGATACCGTCGTGATTTGATATTGAAGATCGAGCAAAGTGCTGTAGAAGAATCAAAGGAGTATGATGTAATTGTCGAAAATCTGAAAATACATATTAAAGATTTTCAAAAATTTTTAACAGAAGATTACAAAAAAGCATGTTCTAAGGTGTCAAGGGCAGACAAAATCTATACAGAATTAGTGACTAAGAATTCTGAGTTCCTTGGGTACATTTCTACTTTGACTATATTAAATAATATTTTATTCAAATTAGATGCCATTAGAAGCATATTGAAAATTTATCGTAGTTATTTAATATTTGTAGCTCCTTTATCCTGGAGACAACAAAATGATGAAAATTTGAAAGGCAGAATTCAATCGATTCAATTCGAGTCAGGTGAATTTATGATTGATAATGACTTAGTAGAAACTTTAGACATTGATAAAATGGTTGAAGTTGCGAAGAGTGAATTAAAGAACCCACCTATAGCTTGTTTGTATTTCCAAAAACCTGAGCAAATGATTTATATGTTCCGTACAATGGAATTACAAAGTAGAGAATATTTAACACAGCTTGCAAAAACAGACATTCCATTTCGCTTATTGCAAGATCGCATAAAGCAGTTGAAGCAAGCAACAAAACAAGAACTTGATTATTTCCAATATTATATCGATAGCATCAATAACGAAATTGCTAGAGAATGTTACAATGAAAATCATTTACAAGAAAAGTTTTTCAGAATATTAAATGAAACTTTTTATGACAGTGTAGCCAGTCCCGGTACCTTGAAGTTGAAAATATATATTGAGTATGTTTATGAGCAGGTATTGGGCAAATGTGAAGAAGGCCACCAAAACTTACATGATCCTATGAAAATATTAGAAGTAATGTACGAAGACTATAATTTACGTCTAGATTCTTTAGATTTTAAAATTGTTAAACAAGCTCAAAGCGACTTCTTTGCCCAAGACTTGAAAATGATGAGAAATGCATTTAAAGCTCAGAGGGAATTGAGAGCATTTAGAGAAATGACTACTGCTATGAATAAGGCTTTCTTACCTTCAGCAAGACGTACTAAACTTGTTTTTAATAAGTTTTTAGATAAAAAAAGTAGAAAGGCGTTAATGAAGGCGGAGAAAAGTAAATCGCAAATGTTTAATAGCGAACGAAAGAAACATAAAACATATAAATTAAGTCAAGAAGAAAAGGACGGACTGCTACTCTTTACAGAATGGTGTGAAGGTACAAATCCAGCACCCTATTTACAAGAATACTATTCATTTATTAAACCAGTATTCGAATGGGAGCCACGTAAATCTATTAAGTCTTGATTTCGAGACTTATTGTTTATAAATTATGTTGTAAGTACCTGTAATAAACTGGTGTAATAAATATATCTATTAATAAATATAACCACAAGTTAGTAAGTTTGTGCTTCAAGATCTATAAAAAACTTCTCTAAATTCAGAATAAATATTTTTAGGCACTTATATTAATTACTTGAAACTGTTGTGTTATAATTATAATAAATATTGTCGATTATAATTCAAGATAAGGATGTACTCACGTGTATCTCACTTTTTTATATACATATTGAAAATATAACTAGAACGAGATGGTCTAGAAAGTTAGCAATAGACAGTTTCTGTTCATTTGATTATATTATAAACCGAAAATCATCAAATAATACAATGGATGACGAGATCAATTCAGTTATAATTAATATATTTACACCACGAATATGTACAAAAGAATCTTACCTTTTAATAAAAAAACCTCAATCTAAGCAAATGTTAAAAGGAATGATTGGGAATCAAATGCAGAAAACTTCAGAAATTTTTCCTGGAAAATATTGTGTCTCTGTTAATAAGCCGATTTCCGTAAATGATTTAAAACAAGAAGAGATTTTATTATCATATAGATTATATGCGAAGAAACAGGAGAGTGAAACACATAAACAAAGGATGAGAGTCAATATACGCGACAAATATAAAATTATTAGTACAGATATGAAAATGAGATTACATCTAGATATTCCTAACAATGATGTTAATGCAATAACTGACGTAGATAAAGGATTTTTTAGCTATATGAACAGACACGAGTTATCAACTCATACTCAACTATATAAATCTCTTAAGTCTTTATTAAGTGACCAATTAAGACTGAGACAAGAAATTGGTTTCAGAAGAGATGGTGTTTTGAATATAGAAACTAGTAACAGAAAAGAAATGGAACAGTATGAAAAAAGTTCTCAAAGATGTATGCAGCAAGTTAAATACTTTGATTCCTTCATATCAGAAGACTATCACAAGTCAATGATGTTACTGCAACAGTGGGAAGAATTAAAAGTGAAAGTTAATATGAAAATTGTTGAACTACAGACTTTTGCTAATGAGCAGTTTGCTGTAATATCTAGATTGATGGGGTTAGATTATATGTATAGCATTCAGCAGAAGTATGGTAGATTTCTATATTATTTATCACCTCCAAGTTGGCGTGTAAAGAATAGAGAATTTGCTCGTTCGGTGGAAATAGCAGCGAAGGGGTTTGATCTAGGCGAAAGCGAAGAAGAAACATTCACTGTTGTGTTTCAAAAAATGCAAAGAGAGTGCTTTGGCAATTTTATTAAACCAGTACTGTACTTTTCATGTCCTAATGATTTACTTAAAATTTTTAATGATGTAGAAAAACAGCAATTACATCATTTGACATATGTCACGCATTTAGCACCGCTTAAAAAGATATTGAAAGAAGAAATAAAAATGTTGAAAGAGTTAATGGCACAAGATAGCGCTTTACTCGCAAACACTATTAAATCATTTGAAATTCTTTTAAAATATACAGATGAAAGATGTGGCCAGTTACAAAATAGGTTTTACAACGTTCTTTATGGGTTATTCTATGAGAGTGTTGGAGCACCAGAGGTTTTGAAACTCTTTTTGCATTTGGAATTCAGTTATGAAAAAGTATTGGGCGAGAAGTCGATAAATTTTGATATAGTGACCATGGCAAAAAGTTTGGAAAACATGTATATGGATTATTCAAAACGGTTAGATACGATACATAGCGATACACTAAAACTAGCTATAAAACAATGTGAAGAGAGAGAACGTCAAAAGATTAGAAGAGCGAAGATAGCCTTTAGGGAGTTGCATGTTTTTGATACACTTGAGAAAAAATTACTACGAGCTCATGCGCCATTATTAAAACATAACCGGATTCGTACATTTAATAAAAAAACATCTATTACAAAGAGCATGAAACATCTAAGTCCTAAGATTAATACTATGAAAAATATTCGTAGGAATCTCAACGAATCTGAGTTGGAGTATTTAACTCTTTTTACAGAATGGACTGAAAATGAGGATCCTGGAAAATATTTGCATTTTGATGAAAATATAATATTCTAATAGTTATAATCCTGTTATTTTAATAAAACTCAATCATTTACTGAAAACAGACTTTATTTATGTGGGGTTCAATATGAAAAACATCTATTTAAGTATTTTTTTATAACACAAGACAGTAATAATATGCCATAAAGTCGATTTTATAAACAAACATATTTCGTAACAAAATGTACATGTAGGTACTACGGATAAAATGTTTGGTTTCGTGGTATAGTAGAATATCCACTAGAAATTTACATATTTACAAGGCGATTAACACAAACTCTGGTAAAAGCTTCATATTAGGTAAATCAGTACATTAGGCTTTACTAAGTTGTACTTCTATTATGAGTAAATAAATAAATACCTATTGGTTACTGTTATAAAAAAAGACAATCTTAAAATTTTAAAGCTCACACTATAATGTTTGTTTTGTTCACAATATTATGGATTTTATCCCTGTATCCAGATATAAAATGATTTTATGAGCCAATCTGTTAAAATTAATTATAGAAAATGGTCTACTTATGTTTAGAGTAAGTTCTTATTGAAAGCCATAAATGTTTACTAGGACTATGCAATGCAGGTCTTGCCTTTTGCTCATCCCGAAATATAGAGAAAAATAATATTAAAGCAATCGTGGATGTAAAGGCCAATTATGTGAAGATGTTATTAACAATTCTCAATTATAAATATTTAACTCAAATTGTTCATAGGCTATCTCTAAGCTACCAATTTTAATGTGTTATTATTGATTAATTGTAAATAGCATTGTTGCATAAATTGGCCCCTGTTGTCAAAGTAATATTTTGGTTTACATTTTAAAATATATAATTTCAGTCTAAATTTAATATGTAGGTATGTGAATATAAGAAATATCTACCTATGTTAATAAATAAATAACATTGTTTTTACGTTATCCAAAAATATTATGAAATTGTTTGAATACAATTTTATAGTAGATATTTATTTATACTGTTCCAGGAATTTATTATTAATTAAAATTATTAAAATTAAATTATTAAAATATTACAAGTATATAAGCAAACTGAACGGTATGTCCTAGTTAAACATTTATGGCTACTATTGGGAAACAATGCTGAATTAATTAATACAAATATCCATTCATAAATAGTGTTGTCTTTTTAGATAGATGATACTATTATTAACATTTTAATGTATATTTACAATATATTTACATAAAGAAGAAGCCATACAAACACAAACAATAGAAGCCTCTTTATAAAAGTTATACATAGAACATCACAATAAGTTTTAAATAATGTCTACAGACTAATTGTTAACTGGCTACTCAAGTGACTTCTGGTACTTAATGGAGGATTGTAAATATATTAGTACAATAAGGATGAAGACAAGAATATTACTTGAAATGTAAATACCTAGATCGTAGGTAGTTCTAAAACCCGAAAGATATACAAGTAGAGTAGAATAACATCGAAATAATTTAAGTGAATACACTTACTATTACTTTACTTATTACATTCATGTATTTACGAACATATCACGCATGAACACTAACGGTCCCACACAATATTGTGAACTACACACATTTATTTACCTTTTGTGTACATGTTTAGTCATACTTGGGAATTACAGATGTATACATTCTCTATTTGGTATATGTATTATTGAGTAATATACTAGGCCATATATATTTACATAGTTCGAAAGAACTTCTCAATGTAAGTTTTATCGAACTATTTTTCAATAAATAAATTACTCCTGTCTTTAATTAATTATTAAAAAACTGTCATGTCCAGATGTGTCATGACAGAATGACATGTATACTATAATTTAACTTAACAATATAATTCTTGAATATATCTTCACCCTTGCCCTAGCTATTTTCAAAAGAAAATGACTAGTAGTTAAATTAGTTTTAAAAAAATATTCGTATCCTTCATGTTCAATATTACTTGAGCAACATTATGATGGAATATTTTCATAAGACGTTATACATCTACAGTAAAAACAATATTTGGTGTTACAAATTTGGACATTACTGAAAATATTCTCAAAATGAGCATTTCGTAATACTTATCTCGCAAAACTGAACCAATATCATACAGATAGCTGATATTTCACGTGTTTAAAACATTGTTTATCTTACACGTTTCTTTTGTAGTTTTGCTAATTTTCTTCTCTTAAGTATCATTTCGTAGAGCGCCTCCAGACCTTCATGGAGGCCATCACCCGTGATGGCACACGCAGGTTGCACGTGCCAAGAGTGACCGTCTCGTGAACTATGTGGGGACGACACCAGTTCATGTAAACCTAATAATCTTTCCAACTCTCTGGGCTCTTTGGCTCCTGGTAAGTCCTGTTTATTTGCTAATACGAGTATCGGCACTCCTGTATTGTCTGGGGATTTCGCAGTACGTATAAGCTCCATTTTAGCTTCTTCCATTCTTTCTATATCAACTGAATCCAACACAAATACAATACCATCTGTGCATCTCGTGTAGGATTTCCACAGCGGCCGCAGCTTTTCCTGTCCACCAACATCCCAAACAAGGAAGTTGACACCTTTCGATTTTCCGATAGTGCCTTTGACTTTTTCACAGTTAAACCCTATTGTGGGGACGGTGTTGAGGTATTGATCGAATTTAAGTCGGTATAGCGCGGTGGTTTTTCCGGCGGAGTCGAGGCCCAACATGACAACGTGAAGTGTGCCTTGAGCTGTGGGCAGTGCATCCAGCAGGCTCGAATTCTTGCCCATATTAGCACCCATTCTTGTTGCGGGCGGCTATCTAACGCTGTCGTCGGATCGCACCATCACGAGCATTTGCTCTTACCTGAAAATATCAATAATACCATTTATTATCTATTAAAATTATAATTGCATGTGCAATATTGCATAACCTGTAATACATATTATAATATCATATGCAGATGGTAATAGATAGATTTTTGTTTCACCATTACGACTAGATGCAATAACATACATATAAACTCTTTGATAATTAGAAATGTTACTGGTACGATAAGATAACAATTTCATAGCTTTTTCCTGGTTTGTTATGCATAATTGCAACATCCGTGCAAGATGCGCCCTTTCAGTATGCTTGCATTATTTAGGTACGTAGGTACACAAGAAATGAAAGTTTAAGGAAATAAGTTAACGATTTAAACAAGTTGTTTATTATGTTTGGTATGTATATTTATAGGTTGATTTTATTTCAATAGTTATACTAACATTTAAAATGCAAAAATGTATCTGTCTGTTTATTACCTTTTCAGGACTAAAAGGCTGACTGGATCTTAATGACATTTGATATGAAGATAGATTAATGAGAACATAGGCTATGTTTTATCTCCAAAATAATCTTAAATTGTACGTAATTGGGAATTAAAGTTTGTGTAGATAAGGTTACGATAGTTAAAATATTATACATAATTGATAATTAATTTTATAAAATTTCAAAAGCTAGTAAAAGCAAACGGCTTTATGTTAAAAACTTTGTATATATGCTGCTCTAAACCAGGAAAAGTTGACTGAAGCAATAAGAAATATCAATTCAGCTAGCCATTCAAAATATCACAGATTATAATAATATTCAGTCTGTTGCTACATAGAGAGTTGACGAGTCAGTTAAATTTAACGGTGTACACAAGAGGGGAGTAGTGGAGAGGGCCGGGGAGGGGAGACGTTGCGACGAGACGAGATGTCGCCATCGCTCGCGCCCTTTTAATAATTATTTGCGGCAGACGAGTCGTCGACTTTTTGTGTAGAGGTACGGGTTGAGCTGGCTACATTACCATAGGGCTGTCACTTGGTTTCAGCTGTTGAATGCCTCATAAACTTCTTAGATGGAGACGTAAAGGTACTCAAAAATACCTGTTATACATATGGTTGCCAGTATCAGGAATCTATTATTATACACCAATACACCAGTATCTGTCTTATAGATATAGATTCTACAGGAGTGGTTCTCATATCCAAGAAAGGGATATCTACTATGCGACCACAGTTCTATGTAAGTCTTTACGAAATGATTAGTAATAAGTACGCCGTTACTTTGTACGTCTATGGTAAATAAAAAAGTATACAAACATACTTCTGCATCTGATAACAGTAAAAGAATGTTCGAATAGTATATCGTCATTGTTATTCCCAATATACGGTTTCTTTTCATATGATATTGATTTAGCCAACTATTACCACTTAACTTAACGGTAGGTATGATTTTTTTACCTAGTTTCCTAATCTTAAGCTAGTGTATTTGCATTACACCAATTCTGTATAAAAGTAAGTGGTACATAAATACTATATTGATTATAAAAAACTGAGGTTAAAAATTTATACTAGTACTTATAAATTTTTACCATCAGTTTTTTTTTAATGAAATATAGAAGAATAAATGCGATAAACCGAGTTTTGACATCCTTATATAGATACTGGGCCGTGTAAACCGTTCGTTTGTTAGGATAGTTTTGATTTCATCAACGGGTTGAATGACACGAAGTATCGAATTTATACTGTTTTTTAATAGCTAATGTAGATTAATTCACGAAATCAAAATTTCTTATTGTACATTTTAAAGGTAATCTAATGTAATCTAATTACGACCCAAATTCTATTCTATCTATTTTAATCGTTCGAGAGCTTACTTCGACTATGCTTAGAACAATATTGTTAAAATAAAATATTGACAAACTGCTGACTGTATCTATAACGACTTCAGCTAAGTTTAATCATTTAAAAACAGTATTATAGTCTTAATTTTAAAAGCGTATGATCGAGTTAGATCCTTAATAGAATTATCAAACAATTCCTGAATAGAAATTTTCATTTCAATGCAAGCGACCTACCGTGATTCACGATAGCCATCGAAAGAACAAAACGAGACGTTTATAGCGATTGCGATACAAATACAATACAACTTGCTCAAGTACAATAACGATTGTGGATAAGTTATGTGCCGGGGCCGAACAATCATTGATGATTTATGTAATTGAAAGCTGTTACGTGAAGCTGAGTTGTGAAAAAGTGTAGTTTAATTAGATAGCGGGCTAGATTTATTTCTATATACGTTCAGAAGTAATTGTTTGTCTTGGTGAGAGCACGTTACGCGCAGAAAACAATGTTGCAAGAGATTCCTTTATAAAGGCATATATAATGTCAATGACGAGAAAGGAGAGAGAGAGAGTTAACGCAATAAAAGTAGGATGGACAAGGGAGTAAACATTGTAGATACTTGATGACTCAGTTTGTTGACATGTCGTCAAATATGATTTTTCATCATTCACTCTGCTGAATATTTTTGTTTTTACATAGTGTAAATATTTATTGTTAGTACCTACTGAATACAATATCTATGAAATAATTTAACTTCAACGCAGAAGAAAACAAGGAACTTCTGATGATTATATAAGTAAGGTTACCTACTAATGGTGAATTGGTAAAACAATGATTTCGTTTAAATGCTTGTCACCATCTGAATGGCAGTTCAATAAAAGTTGATGTAATATTTATTCTTCAAAAGTAATATGTAATTAACATATTAACTAAGTTTACTCTGAATTTGTATCTATATATAGGCATTTCATTAAATTACATTTAAAATTAATATCATCCTAATATGTAAGTACATATCGTTACGAACCACTCTGCTTGTCTGTTAAAATGTAGCACGAATTGGCTTGTTATGGGACATCGAAAGTTTTCAAAGGTAAAATTCGAGGTCGTATAAATGTGTAATGGTGCTCGCGCATTGGGCCTTCGACCTGCCTATCTTGAAAAACTAGTATTGCAACTTTTGTTTTTAGTTGTTTGACTTGGCAACAAAGGTTACTGTGTCCAAAGACATATTTGAATTAAACGGCTAAGATGATTAGGCATTGTTTTATACGCCAGACAGTTTCATATTGATTCTAAAAAAACTTTACGTACTTAGCAGAGTAAATAGCTTAAGACTAGACGGTTTTACACTAAGATATTAAAGAGATTAATTGAGATCAGATTAAAAACTAGAATAATCCTATTAGACTATATTATATTAAGACCTACTCATTTTTAAGAAGAAAAAAGGGATCCGAATCTGTAATATACATTTTTGCGGGGCATTATTGTTTTTCTACTTGTAGTGAGAGTTCTCTAAAAACTAGTAATACAACTTTTGTTTTTAGTCGTGTGACTTGGCAATGAAGATTTTCTATGATAAAGTATTTTTAGGCCATATTCTGTTTCACTAACGGAGTTTATAAATCAGTTTTCTAATAAGTAGTACTAAAGTACGGTACAGCTATTATATTATATAGCAATAAAAACAATTTTAACCTGACAAACTTATCAAAAAAGCGGCTAAAATTAATTATATAGAATTTTTGTTTATATATATTGTTTTTAAAAGTCTGATCTTATTTATTATTTCTAATTATAACTATTACTTTTTCTATTCTGTTTGTCAAATATACAGAAAATTCGCAAATGAAAATAACATCAGGTACTAAAACGTAGTAAACGTAATATTTAACGTTATTATTTTATACATGACAAATGTTTCTAATCTAATTATGTTTCTGAGATACATTGATATTTTGCGATAGAACAATAAACACAAAAAAGTATATATATATTGTAACAAAGTACATACTTAGGTACATTAAATTAAGGAAGCAAAGTTACAAATAGAAGTAGAATTTTGTCAATCATTTTAATAAAAAAAATATAAGAGGTGGCGAATTGAATTAATTCAAACTGTAGCGGCGAAGATAGACCGTGAAATATTTAAATAGCATTAGATGTCACGTAATAAATAAAAGCTTTAGATACGGCATGAAGCATGTCGACAGGGTCAGAAGTGAAGAGAAAGCACTACACTAGTGTGGTGAGCCCTTTACTTTCTCTGTCTATGCACTGCCCCGCCTAAGTGGAAACATGTATTTACAAAGGGCCTTTCATGTTCGATATAGGAACTGAGGTTAAACAAGAAAGACTCAGTCATATTTATACATAATTAATTGTATATTTATGGTATATGATAATAACGCAGATATACTAATCATATAAAACATATAACATACCGCCATGATGTTATCGTAAATGGTGTAGTCAGAGGCATTGTCAAATGTCGAGGCGATTGCAATTTTGTTGGGTATATTAGAATCTAACGTGGCACAAGGGCTATAGGCCTCTCTCAGATAAATTTTTGATTTCATATAGGTGTTTCCTTCACTGAAGAGTTGGAAAGTCAGTCAGAAATATAAATTGACACAAACGTTGTTTTGATAGTATCAGCCAGATTTCAACTCTAACTAAACTTCTCGGATGTAAATCAGAGTAGAGAGTACTAACGAAACCTAGTAAACTAGACCAGACGGCGCTCTTTAATTACATTGGTTTCTATAATTATTAAGTATAGTGAATATATCAACAATATATTTAATTCTAATAATAATAAGTAACTGCCGACTGGCTTCATGAACTGTATGTGGAGTGTTAAAATATTGAGCATAAAGTATAATCTCTGTCAACTTGTGAAAGCATAAAATAATTGACTTCTCATATTTATATAATTTAAAATTACAAGCATAACTACTTATTTAAGAGTTGTGAACCACGTCGAGTTCAAAATTTTCCACTTATACCGAAGAAAGTGGGCAGTAGGTACTTTAATTTGTCTTTTTTATAGCGGCGCTATTATGTGCTTATTATATCCAGCGGCTTTGCCAGAGTTTATATTTAATATATAAATATTCCAGTGTTAATGTAAGATTTATCGCTGCCAGTTCAGTTCAAGCCCATTCAGTCCTTTAAAGTTTATACCACTAAACATCAAGAAAATCTAAAATATTAGAATAAACAGCGCGTCCGTACACTTTTTAGAATCAGTCTCTATTCTATAAATGATTTTTTAATTTCATATATAAGTTGATAATAGATCGAACGGTCCACTTAAGTTCCGCTAGCTAACCTGGTATGCACTCGCAGACCGTATGCTGTACACGCAGACGGGCAAGTGAACCTAGTTTGGATAACATTAAACTTATCTAAGTGCACTCTTCCGCTACTTATATGGCGATATGGCTTCCTAAATAGTTAAAACGCTTTCACGTATTTATGATTCCTTATTTTTTAAACTATAATAAAGATTGATATTAAGTACTTAATTACGACCGACATAAATCGGGGTCAATTTTTTTTAATGGGTATCACTGGTTTACCACTCAATCTTTTTTGTTTTTAATAAAGTTATAGACATTTTCAAGTTTCATTGAAATAAAATTTTACTGGTACTGGTGGTACATAATATTATACATTTAAGAAAAGCTAGTAATATATGTACTAATATTGTTTTTACCTTTGTGTGACACTATATTTTATTTTATTTTTAGATACAAGTCATAATAAAGGGATAAAATATCATTATGATGTACGAGTTCATAATATAAATGTGAGGCGAATAAGCGACGAATGTTCATGCTTGTCGGATTCGTGAATAAATTTATAACTCTCCATATCGGCATAACCGATACCGATTTCGACATTAAATCATAGTACAAACGGATGAATAACGCTCCACCGGTAGCGTTTTATTCCTGGCGTTACATTGTAATAAAATAAAAAACAGGCAGCTCCTAATAGCTCCATTGAATATAAACGATCTTTATTAGCCAGTAGCTAAAAATAAATTTATGTTTAAATGAAAATTGTTTAGGATTCGTCCCGGTCTATGGTTTTATTATGACCTAGTGAGTTCAAATTAAAAAAAAAACTTATTATTAACGTATTAATTTGCTTGCGATAGTACATGTATACAATATGCATATCGTACATATCGTGTGCATTGTTAATCTGTAAATTAAGGAAATACGGGTATATTGGTATTGAATACTTACGTTATAAATGACGATGTATTATGTCTTTTTAAGGCCAAACGAACTTTTCAGTCTTCAAAATACCTGTAACAAAAGATACAAATTATTACTCATTTTAATTTGTTTTTAATACTACCTAGATGTGACGTGATGATGGTTATATAACTATATGTATATATTTATTTACATATAAACTTTCCGGAAGAAATACTCGAAATTGTAATGAACACCATACTAAAACTAGTCAGTCCGATTTTTACTATTTTATATAAGACATATACATATTCTGATTTCCTTTATTTATACTAAGATTATCAGATTGAAAACGATAAAGTTATAGTTTGTTAACTCTTTTATAGACAATAAATTGCAAGTCGTGCATCGTCGTTATGATGAAATGTGCGGTCTGCACTATACATTATATCCCTGCGTTTCATAGAATAATAATTAGTTAATTTGAAAATTTATGGATCCAACAGGTTAAAAATCTATGTAAAACTTAGAAAACTGTACATATAATAAAAATGACAAACAAACATTATTAAAAATGAATTGATGGACACATAGTAAACTGTTAAAATAACACTAACTCCTTTGGAGACATGCTCCGTTACTGTTATCTTTACACAAGTTGCTAGATTCTGTTTAACAAAGGAGATGGCTTAAAAATACAATTTAGACCCTGTACAATAGAAATGCTTTAATAACATATAATATGTCAGAAGAATAGAGTTTTGTTTAAAATGTGAATATAATTTCTTATGTAAAATGCAAGAAAGTTGAACCGGAATAAAGTTATAATAAACAAATATTCGCCCACTTCTAATTAATGAGCAAAGATTACACTAATGAACAATGTTGTTTATAATATGCCTACGCAACAAGATTATTTGCAAGTTTGTATATTTCAAATATATAATTTTATCTTCAAGGTGTAAATATGTAGATAGATTATTACGACAAGGTAAATAATTCTACTGTTTGTAATTGAAACAGATTTCACAAGGTTTATGCATATGTAATGGAAAGGGAATTGAGGATTTAGCACGGCCATGTTTACTGATGTAAATTTAAAATCCAATATAATATTCAGCTTGCAGTTCATACAATAATGGGATGCTATACGTGAAATATAGATTATAAAAATATATTCTAGTATTTGGCAGTTTTTTTTTGTGTTTAATGTTTAACATTTACTGGTACTAAATTTGTTTTATCTGGACTGTATCAAAGAAACACAACATAAAGATAGAAAGATATTAGATTGCACCTTTATATGCCCATTACAATCTGTTAAAAACGAAAGGTGCCAAACTTAAAAACACGTTAAAGTTTCACGAGAATCGTAAAAAATGTAGAGAAACTCATGTCACGAACTAACAAAAAGCTGGAACATTGTACAGTTAAATAAACGATTAGATAGCAAAATAATGTGAAGATGTCGCCCAGGTATCGCGGTGAGAAACGTAAAATAAATATTGCATGAATCTTGATAAGACTACATCGCGATGCCAGGGAGATTGCGTCAAAGACTTTTTGATCTCGTTTCCATAAATAGTACATTTTGTACATTTATATGCAGATGCTTGGTATCTTGACGTTGGAGTTTCGTAATTTTAAAATTCTCAGAAAGGACAACGTCAACTAAATTGTGAGAAATTAGCTATAAAAGTGTTAAAGGAGGACAAAGAAAAAGTAAAAGTTATTATCACCGAAATTTTAAAAAGAAAGCAATGTGTAAATATTATAAATATTTATTGTAATTATAATAATAACTTTTTGCCACTACAGCTATGGTATACATATATAACTTTTCGAAAAGTGAAGGGATTTTTAATGTATTCTGCGTTCAATAGAGGGTCTACCTGTGTTCATTCCATTAATAATTTGCTCACGATTAGTATTTTGTGAAACAAATGTACTTATCGGTAATATTGAATCCATGATACTTTTTAAGATAAAAGGATTTACTGGTGTGTTGATACATTCATACTGCTCGTGTCATAATTGACGTCGGTTTACTATATGACCCAAAATTGCAGGTTAAAGCCTACATACTATACAAAGATCATAGACCTTTAACTGTTCATGATCTTTGACTATTTACAATAAAATTTGGAGCGTGGCTAACGCGTGTTGGCAATTACCGCCATTGCTTTCTAACCGGAGCATTAGTTTTATATTTGATATACAAATCATAAATCATAACTTGCATTACTATGCATTTCAAATCGGGTTGTTAAACGCCTCGATGAACATAGAATAGTTAATGAATTCCATTTCATTTTCAGTTGCCTTCAATCATAGTTCCAATACATTATAGATTGCATGTACTAAGAATGTGAGCAAAAACCTGCCTGGAGCAGCTCTCGAGCAAGCAATTAACAGCACGTGTTCCGCTATTTCAAGCGCTTCATTCGCGAAGTACTATTTGTTTTATTTTACTCTATGGCAGTTATGATAGATTATAAAATAAAACTATATTACTAATAATTTTTAAATTATATTTGGATACTTATATTTATAGTCATCGTCTCGTTCATAGTAAATTATACTTTTAGTTATTTTTAAAAACACACTGTATAGGGTTGCATGCTCTCTTCTGATCATGATTATTACTCACAAATGACACACACATCACAACTTTTCTTAGTTAGGTCAAATAACTTTCCATTTAAAAATTGCTTTTATTTTGTGATAAATCTATCATCTCCTTTCTGAACCAACTGCCTAACGGACAAAGCTCTTTTTGTGGAAGCTCCCTAGCTGTGCGCAATTGTCAACAAACTAAATGGATTTTCATGACTCTTGATGACGCCTTGCAATCCATTTCCATATTACTTCTACTCATATGTAAAGTTTATGTAGATTAAAAGACTGCTTGTTAGACAAAACGCATTTTATTAATTATTATTCAGTTTTAACTGGCCACTCTATATATTAAAATTATTTAAAATAAAATACTAATAAAATGAGGATTATGTAAACCGTCCATTATAAATGTAGTGCATCATCAAACCAGTTATAGTTATTGATGAACTGAATGGGTTTGTAAACAACTTAAACTTCATTCAATATACCAGAGCCTTCAACACGGGAAGTGATTATTTGCGTCGAAGGCGTATGTATGGATTGTATGCTAATTTGTATGACTTTATTGGCGCAATAGGCGTGGGAGAAAACTAAGAGGATCACAGATAGTAGTACATTGTCATACAAGTTATTTCTTATGATAGCAATTACCGTAATTGATATAACAACGAGAGATATTTTGATTGCGATAATTTTGAAATAATGTACTTGGTATTTATTAGCAAAATTAGTTATTAGCATAAAATAAGAATTTTTCATTTTTAATCTTTCATATTTTAAAGATTATTGAATATATACATATGTTTTATATTGCCCTATTAATACATCTTTTATTGGCTTTCAATAAGGAGTACCTTCTCAATTCAATAATGTGTAATGTAATAATTAAATATAGCAATTTAATTTCGTTTTAATTATACGTAATTGAGAAATATTGCACAGATAGATAGATATTAATTTTATTGAAATCCATACAGCTTCATTTAAAAATCTGCACAAAGTGATGAAACAGGAAGAAACAATAAAAGAGTGGGATATCAATTAATTGCAACAATTTCTCTTCTATCAAAACAAGTCTCTTTATACCTGACATCAGACGAAGAGCAAAAATATGTGGAATTTTTTACATTGGCCCTTTTCCATTTGCATATAAGGTAGTGACCACTAATATATTTGGACATAGTTATATTTGGATATGTTATAGTATTTACTTAAATCTACACTAGTTTTCTGTTGTTGTTATCTATCTGTTGTTACCTTATTGTTTCGAAAAATATATTTATTTTTATCGTTTTATTTATATCGTAAGTAGCTATAATGTAGGTACAAGATATGATTCTTAAAATTGACTATTAAGTACAAACTACTAGTGCTATAATTATCCACAGCAGCGTACCAAAAGATCAAGGATAAGCTTCAATATGAATTGAGAGTAAATTGGGAAAAATAAAATATTATCTCTATCTATTTATTTCATTAAAATATGCACGATAAAATATTTATTGGCTATATACTGAGACAAAAACATTCCACTTCTTTACCGAAGCAAAATATTTAAGTAGGTGTGTAATGGAATGTTTAACAATTTTTTTTTATAAACTGTAAGTTTACCAAAAATGTACCAGAAAAATACTATAAACGCGGCATTGATTGGTTTGATAGAAAAATAATGTCTATTTTCATTTCAATATTCGCTGATTGCGAGTCGTTAATATTTGTCCATGGATCAGATTGGATGATATTTCTATCGGCGTGTATTTTCATTTTATTATGACATCCCACGGGTGAAATTATAGTAGGAATAGCTATTTATTTACATATCCTTTATTACACTTAATTGTTGTAAAAAAATATTAATGCTTCATATCAATTTATTTTTTACTCACTGTTACTAGATGATAATGAAGCTTTCTGAAAGGAGAACAAATATTAAAATCGTTTTAAGATTTTTTTGTTTCTCCTTTACCAACTAGCTGACTCGCACTTAGTATGTGTCACTTTTCCCCCGTTTTTAGAGTATTTTAATTGTTGTCCTGCTTCTCTTTATTGCAGTGAGACATATTGTAAATGTAGTCTCTATGTCTTGCTCAGTAAATGGGGTATCCAACACTAAATGAATTTCAACATCGGATCAATAGTACCACCGGTGATAACACTGTATATCCAAACTCATAAACATTAGTATAAATAAACAACTATTAATATTATTGGATGTAGATACACAATCATATCATTTTATAGTATAAAACAAAGTCGCTGTCGCTCTCTGTTCATCCCTATATATGCTTAAATATTTAAAAGTCCGCAACGGATTTTGAAGCTTTTTTTTATGGTTAGAGTTATTCAAGGGGAAGGTTTATATCCGTGTGAAGCCGGGGCGAGTAGCTAGTAGATAATAAATAATTATTATTTAATTTTTTTAAACAGATCAATACCCTGTTGTTCGTTACGTCAGATGTGAAAACTACGACGCTCTTAAAATGTCGACTTTT